AAAAAACTAAAAAAATTTTGGGCCCCGAACCCCCCCCCAAGTGTTGGGGGGGGGGGGGGGGGTCGGCTTCGCATCCACAGACCCCCTTCAAATAATCCCAGATTCGCCCCTGCAGTGGGTGTTCATGTGTACACCCAACGCCACCCCACCTCAAATTTACTTTTTAACGTTGAGAGGTGATCTGACTTGTGAAAAACATTTAGATTTGCGTAGCTTTCACAAAATTGGCAAAATGCCAACAGAGGGCTGCAAACTCATTTTTATGGCTTTGTAGTATCGATTCTCTTTGTTTTCAGGTGTTAGTATGTTTACAATGAGTTTTAAGCACTGTTATGTTGACAACCCTGTCGATAAATAAACAAATACATGAATGAATAAATTAAGAAGAAGATTGATGATAATTGTTTTGAGTTTGTACCGATTCCGCTCTTGTAATTTTTTCCTGAAAGAGCATTTCCCCACTCAAGAAATGAGTTGAACCAGAATCCTGTGAAACAACTGTAGTTACACCAGTTAAGGGTGAAAATAATTGAGGCAAATCTAATCCCTATCGACTGTTTAGCAGAATAGAATTTGAATACTGAGAGTTGGAAATCTAAACTCCATTTAGACTATATTTGCGCACCAAAATCTGTCCCCTCGTTTGAAATAATTGACCATTATGTGACTTGGGCAAATGACAAATATTTGTAGTTCCTAATAGTTTTCCTGGTATTTCTTGGACATCGATAACCCCATGCTGTTGTCCACCAGGCATACACTTACCGTTGACATCTAAGGTGTAACCCGTGAAGCAGTAATGGTCGAGCCCGCGTTCTGAACAGGGGGTGGGGATTAAGCCGTCCTTACAGCTTTTGGTGCCTTGGTCAGGTTTGTTGGTAGAACACTGCACACACGAGAATGCTGTCACGTCTGGAAAATGAACCACTCGATTAAATCTTAATAATAAGTTCTTTTTTTAGGATTAAATGCACATAGCTATAACAAGAAATTTCCCCTGGAATGGTCAAACGGCAATCTAAAATACCTGCACTCGATAATAGCTTCACATAGGCCTATCATTAACACACTCCAGTTTTACTTTAAAAAAAAACAACAAAAAACAAATTCACTCAATGCAAGTGAGTTTTTTTCCCAGCACAATTTCATCGAAAGCCTTGAAAAATAAAGCGAAACCTTTGACAAAATCCATGAAGAGAAGCGCAGCCAGCCAGGTTGTGGTCCGTCTGCCATCTCCTGCCATTGTACACAGAGGTAATCTCTCCGCAACTCTTGAGCACTCCCGCTTGCTAATCAATACAGGACCAGTCTAATATCACCGGGAGCTTGGAGCTTCCATCAATTTTAAGACCCTTGACTGGAGATAATTAGAACAATGCAGATTAATAATTAATAACGGCTGAGCATATTATAGGCCAGTATCCCTCTTTACGTGTATTAACATAAAGGAACACAACCTGGGGCGGAGTAGGTTCTTCGACCATGATTTCTTTAGAAAATATTTTGGCTGAGTGGAAATGAGTCTGTCCCTTTGGGGAAAGAATAAGTCAATTAAGCCTTATTGTGAAAGCGAAGATCTTCACAGAAGTCCATCAAAAGAAATTTCCCCTAATGCAATTGGAAAGCTGCGACAGAACATTGAATGGGAGGGGACGCTCAGATTAATAACTGACTATTAAAAAACGAACAGTTTCCACGAAAATCGATTCACGTCAGTATTTTTTGTTAATATGCAGTTTAACAGCACAAGAAGTAGGATCGAATTTACAGATCATAATATTCAAAATCGTAGAGCCGTGAAACACGAAACCTATTCTGGTTTATCTATCGACCTGGTACATAAGACCTGTCAGTGAACAAACAAAATCAGGAACTCGAAATGCACAACTTGAAGTGCACTTTTTGGTTTCATTACGCACATAATTAAATCTTTTTGCTTGTCTTTTCCTACCATTCAACTTATTATTGGACACAAACACTATGAAATGAAGATGACGCGGGCCAACGCGTGCGTCAAATTATAACACCTGAGAGACGCGAACACAAGATATACTCTGTACAGTTATGTTTTTGAAATTTGACATGCAGTAGTAAACCGATGAGATTCTTTACTTATTTTTCCCTTCAGATATGTTTCAGATTCAGGACGTTTGTACGCATTTCAGTACTTCCCGGTGTTAACGATCAGAGATATCTGTTCTTTTATTTAATCAGTTCTCCCTTCATTTTTCATTTTACTTCTACGTGTAGTGAAACTCACATTTTCATAACATCATGATATGTATTAAACATGTTTTATTTAGTGCCACAGAAGGCTAAACTATATACTAGTATTTCACCAAGATACCAGTAATTTACTGGCTAAGGTACGCGTAAATGTCAATCTAGATTTTTGTTAGCCTCTGTACTTTATATCCTCATTTCAAGTTACAACGTTAGATATATTTTTTAATAATTTAAATATTTTTATAATAAAATACAAAGGACAGCCACTGGAAAACGAGGGCTAGCCCTCTCGTATTTCATTACTTGACAATGTTCTGTAGATCACTTTGGATCCTAGGAAGTGCTAAGGAGTCCATCACAGATAAATGTTATATTCTTGAAGTCCATACAAGGTACATTTCACAGTTTTCTTGCTGCGTAGAAACTTGTTGTTTGAGTCTATATATACAAGTTATTAATGTGGTGGATATCCATATGGATTAGATGGAGGGGGTGGGTAAGGACTTCCTGGCTGAGGGTAGGCTGGAGCACTGTAAGGAGGAGGAGGACCTGAAATAATAAACACATACAAATACAAATGATTCATGTGTATGTTGAACTGAGTGTATTTTCGATTTTCGTTTCATTTTATCGCTAGAAAGGGCAAGCAGAGAGCGCAGACCTCGGTCAGTGCAGTCCAATTTTTTTCAACAATAAGTTAATTACTTGATTAATGGATCATTACCGAAATCTAATAGGTTTTAGGTTAGCTCACTTTTTACCAATCCTGAAAATTTTATCAAAATCCGTTCATAACGTTTTGAGTAAGGCTATTTACTAACGAATCACCAACGACAAAAAAAAAAAAAAAAAAAAAAGATACACAACGACGTCGGCTTTCTTACCTGACGGTGGCGGAGCAACGACACCTACTGGGTATGAAGTAGGGTAGGGCTGGGGGTACGCCGGGTACGCAGAGCCCACCTACAATATAAAACAACATATCTGACGTTATCTCTTTCTTGAAGCTTTTATTACTGGATATTTTATTTTCGTTTAAGTTGTTCAAGAGAGTTTGCGTAACAATGAAAAATACAACGAAAGGGTGACTGTACTAGTTTGAACGTTTCAGTTTAGACATTAATGAGTTGTTCGTTATAAAAACGCTAAAAAACGCAGAAAACTGACTTAAAACGGACAAGTTTGAGCGGTGTCCCCAGAGTTCACTTACCGGTGGCACCGGCCCCCCACACGGCGGGGGAGGGGGGCAGTGGTGGTGGTGATGGTGATACATAGCCTCTCTTGCAAACATTTCTCTGTTATGTGCCATCTCCGCTCTCTGATGTTGATTTTCTGCCTTCGCCTGTAAAATACACATCTCGTTGAACATACCAATGTCTATGTCAGATTTCTTCGAGAACGGAAAGCATCGTAAATGATAACCTGTCATTATCAGCTGATCGCTTCCTGCATTCTGTATTCACTGGATGCTTCAAGCCAAGCGTACGATTAATATATAGGCCTACTCTAATATCAACACTGTGTCACCAGGTTTAAAATATGTATTACATATAGCTCAGCTCGTACAAACCGCTATATAGTAATGAATGAAATACAAGCTGGCATGCAAAAAAATGCTTAAATACATATAATGTGCAGAAAACTGTCATGGATGCAACACATCGCTGCCCCGTGTTTCTTAATCTTATTGGAATAGTACCGGATTAATATTATGAGGCGCGTATTTCAAACCCAGGTAGTCTACTCTACATGTATGGGTTAAAACGGTATTCCTCTGGCAAACTGGGGAAAGAGATATGTCGGCCTATACATTTCAAGGTGTGTCGACCTCGTGACGGGTCTTGTTTTCACACCTCATCTACCGTACCTGTAAATTCATGGCTCTGAAGACGTTCCCATGCATCATGGCTCTGGCCGCCTTATGTCGTAGATTGGCCTCTCTAGCCTCGTGCCGCATCTCATCCTGTGAACAGATAGATAGAAAGGATCCATATTATAACTGGATACTGTGCAAACTACGCACCTCACCGTTTTAGATACCCGTGGCCATTTGAAATGTTCATAAAAATAAAGTTTCTTTTGTTGTTTATACTTCTCTGTTCTAATAATTAATCTCAAACAACTTCCATCATTGTGCCATCCCCATGTGTCAATGTTTAACCTGTTCTGATATTACTTACCGATAAATGATGGTATCACTGTGATAAATAATAAAAATGGCTATTTGTAAAGGAGCAAGCATGATTTTTTAAGGATTGAAAGTGCATTTAAATATACAGAGTAATATGAAGATAACAAAGATATGAAAAAGTATAAGAATTAACATAGTATTATGTCGTTGGTTTGAATTCCTAAGTATAAAGATTAAAAGAAGTAAAGGATCTGAATTTCAGTCGATCTATTTATTGTTCCAAAGTTCAATGCTAGACTATATACAGTAGCTCCTGACGATAATGCGAACCCATCCCAATGTACTTCTATGGTTCATTTTCTTACATGGTTACTGAACAAAGCAGACAATAGCTATACATATCCATTTAAGTGGGAGTACTTTGTCACTTTAGAAACTCTGTCGACATTTCTTTTAATTATTCCTCGACAATCTTCTGTAAACAAGGTGGTCACTCCCAACTCACCGCCCCCCCCCCCTCCCCACACACACACACACACACACACCACTGTGATCTTACCCTGTGTGCTCTGTTCGCCTCGCGTGCGTGGTGATGCCCGTGAAACATTCTCCTGTTAGAATTAGTAGCAAATGGTTCCACTTTCTGTTTCCTTGTTCTACTTGTATCCTGTTCGTCGGAATTGTACACTTAACTTTATACTCGGTTTTATCAGAGTCTTGACACACTTTACAAGTCACAAGATCAGACGTCACTGTTGACTCACCGACCGTAAATAAATACATGCAGGTGGTATTTCACAAGATCTTGTTAAATTAAAACTTAATATCAATATCTCGTTAAAAACTGAAAATAATAAAAATTTGGTGTTTAAGGGGTGTGTTGCTAAATAACCAAAAGACTTGATAGTGCTGCACGCTCAAGTTCAAACCACTTAAGAATGTCATGCTATACAAATGAAACATACATGTATTAATAATTAACTCGAGCTCAATATTGAATTCTATATGTTGTTTGCGGCGGCTGTTACATTAGTAGACAGCGTTACATTATCGATATACTACATCTACATGTATATAGATCATCAGAAATAAAAACACATATCGGTAGACATATTTATTGTTAATTTTATAAAACATTTTAGAATAATTCCAAATGGCGTTTGTGGAAGATTATTCTTTGAGAAGATATCGTTCAGGATGGTTTTTACGTTTCAAAGACCTGTGTCAGAATTTAATTAACATTTCTAAACAATAAATAAGTATTGAATAAAGCTTAGGTCCTTGTTACACTTTTAAATAATATTTTTCAATACGCAGCCATAGAATTAGATTGCAAAGCTTTTGATTACTTTAACATGTCACTTTGACTTGTTTATACGTTAGATGTACGCAAGTAAAAGTAATAGAAAAGCCTTTAAGATTTTGCGTTTGCGGCTTCATGTAAAAAAAATGATAACGAACTTATAAGGACGTGGTATATGCAAACATTGTACAAGGGCTAAAAAAAAAATGAGACCTAAAATGTCGGCGAGGAACACCAGCTATGGAAGAGGGCACACAGATCGAGTACGCACACCAACACACATCAGAAACCTTCATTGGACACGGAGCTAGTAGCCACGGTGTGACTGCCTGGAATAGAAAAATATCAGATATTGAATTCTCTACACACTTCTTATTTTAGTCAAGTATTTAAGTAGACAGCATGAATACATTTGATCCGAATGGATTCGATTTGAAAGTCCCCTTGTAGACGTATCCCCAGCATGGTTCTGAATTAAATGCCGATTCAATGCAAGATTATGTTCGTGTTAAAAAATTTAATATGACAACGACTGCCACAACGTCCTCACATTGTATTTTAGGGCTATGCCATCCGTTGGCTACAGGAACCAATATTTCTTGGATTTTTGATATTGATTTAATTTTTTATCTATGTATTTACGTTTTGCTATGATTATATCCTACCAAAACATAAAAAAAACAACGGGTTTAACAAAAGAAAAGGGTTACAATTTTTAAAAATTATAGGTGACTACCAGGTGACGAGCAAACAGCCAAATTTCTTTAATCTATATGCTCAGCCGTTTAATTGAAATGTTCCGTTTTAATGTCTTAATGTCATTACAGAAATTGTCTAAACCTTGACATAAAAGAAGAAATGTCGTTGAAATATCACTTTAAAAGGTCATGATCACAGTGGATACGCCATGCAGCTAAAGTAATCATCTGCCCAGTTTGCCTCCATGGTTAGGCGAACTTTGATACAAAACTGTCAGTTCTATCACCGCTGGCCTCTCCCATACTACTCTTCGTGATCTCCAGGATGATTTCCCACAGGGCCCGTGTGATGATCCAGTATCTTGACACCGGACTTTCTTCAACAGTGGGCTCATGAACTTTTGGAATCACAATCAGTATAACAGAAAGCGTCCTTTTGAAGGATGAATATTGGATATTTCAAAGACCTAATGCTTACGCATTATCATTGTAAAGGAGAAGGATCAGCTGTTGATCACAGCAGATTTAATCAGAAGTCGACATAAAGTGAATTCCTAATGCTTTTTATACTTTTTCGCAGTTCTACGTTATTATTTTCATTATAATATCGTTAAAACGTCCGTCTTTAACTGAAACCATATTCAACCCAATAAATTACTGTACAAGACATTTCTGTATATTTTGCACACCTTACAGAAGATTAGTGGCTCTCTAAAATACCCTCCTGTCAGAGGCGTTTGGGTTTGATCTCCATGACCCCAACAACAGATCCTTAAAAACCAAAGCGTAGCCTTCTACTGCTGTAGAGAAGACAGAGAGAACAACAAATCACAGCGGCGGTCAGAGAGAGAGAGAGAGAGAGAGAGAGTGAGAGAGAGAGAGAGAGAGAGAGAAACGTATGTGATTACATTTCTCATAAAAAAGATTCTCCGAACGATTCATTATGCCGCGAAACCACATCTGGCAGTGAAGATAAAACGCTAATTTCTTTAAATGAATACACTGTGTGGAGTAAAATATTTTACTGAGATTTTGAGATAATGTTTTCATCGTGGTTCATCAGTCCATTCGAATGAATACTGCAGAAAAAGAATGAGTATCCTATCTGTGTTGTTTAAGACGACGCATGCGAAGTATAAACGTGTGCATTATATATATATTTTTTGTTTATTATTTATTATTATATTTTTTTTTGTTTATTTATTTGATATATTATTATCTTGATTGAATAATTTATACGTTTTGTTGTTTTGTTTTCCTCTTTGTGGCTTCTGCAGGACATGGACAATAATACTTTCAATTTTACTTCAATAAATTTGCTTTCTGATCATTTTTTATTGGCAAATGGAAAATGTCGAGTTCAGGAAGTACAGTGTGCACCTGGGTATATTGGAGACCAGCCTAAATTCATAACTATCGAAACGCGCTGGCATGCTGCTTGGTAAGTGACAGGGGGCAGGCAGGGGTCGCCGTTTAGTATATAATGTTTACGAGAACATTGACATTTGCTCTTTCAAATCAAAGCTATAAATGAAAATCGAAACATGTGCAACTTTGGCTTTTTTTAAGTCCAGTCAAACTTCCATTTGGTCGAAAACAATGCGGTGTTTTATACTGTCCCTTTGAGTACCAGATTTTGCGAAAAGGTAACAGCGATTGTCACACTTTGTATAGTGCAGAGGATGATCCACTGATGAAAACCTTTTGTTTATCAAGTTTTATCGTTGCGGTGTGTTAGAAGTCTTCACTCGATGTCGTATACAACTCCCATTTGTTTGCGGCACTCGTCCATTATTTCCATTAGCAACAAAGATTCATGATGACTCACTACAGCACTTTCCAACTCTCCTGGAAACAGACAGTACAGTTAATTTATTTTACATGTAAGTTGTAAGTTAATTTTTCGAAAGGAAAACCATTTATATGTGAAAATGGTAATGTTAGCAGTAAACGATTGATAATAATTAAAATATGCTATTTCATAGAATACAATACCGGTTGTGGATAATGTCAGATAAAGAAAAATGACAGGACGTGTTTTATTTGGAACGTTTAAATCATTAAACATTACAGTTGCGTTCATACGGTACCTTTTTTCAAGCACTCTCGAACTGCTCGCGCTTGGTAGCAAAGACCTGTGCTGTTAACACAATTGGTTTTGTACGTTGTCTCCGGCATCGGGAAACTGTACGTTTTGGCAGGGGTAATCAGTTTTGTTGGACACCAGAATTTTTCTGGAAGCTAAATAGATATCACAAAAAAAGTTTTGCATTTTAAACTCATAACTTCATTGTTTCTAGGTCATTTCCACTTCATAACAATATACTAGTACTTAATAACACATTTTCACTACGTTTATTTCATCGGATAATGATTTTCTTTCCCCTTCGATAAAATTTTCCCATTTCCATTACCTCTAATTTCCCTTTGGTTCCATAGATGACAGCACTGTTCTGGAAGAGGACGCTGGTGTGGGCGGCCAACTGAGCCATGCGGCCATTTGAATAGTGCAGAGTGATTGTGCACACCTCGTCGACGCCTAGAATAGAACTTTTTGGAGGTCATGGTGTTGAATTTCAGCCTCGAATGGCTAGCAAGTTCTACTTCGTGTACGGATATAATATATAAATAATTACATAGAAGTAAAATAGGATGGTTAAAATAGATAAATAAATAGGTAAATATAAAGATCACAACTAATTTTGTTTGGAAACTTAGTTCTTCCTCAAAAGCAGGTAAGACATGGAAATTAATTATGGTCACTTACCAGTTGGGAAAAGATGACCAGTGGCTACTATCTTGGTTGGTCTTTCGCCGAAAACCATAGAGGCTAACTGTATAGGGTATATACCCATGTCCAAGAGTGCGCCTCCACCAAGCGATTTGTTTGTGATGCGCTCCAGGTGAGAAATTGTCTGTCCAAACGAAGCTTGAACGAATCGAACTTCGCCGATATTCTGCTCCGCTATTTCTTTTCTTATCTGCTCATAGCCCGGTAAGAAGCGGCTCCAAATAGCCTGGAACATATAATTTAATTAGAGAGATTTATAAACTTTTGGTCCCGACAAGAAAAAGAGTATTAACTAAATACCCGCTTACAGTAGTTACATACGGCACAAGCTGGATCGTCCTTTTCGGAATTATTCAACTTCTATATAAATGAGCCTTAGAACCTCTCACTACCACCCTGAGCTTCAGAGCTAACTTGACACTAACCTTTTCACTGTAGCCTATCTCCATCGTGTCAAGTTAACACGATGGAGATAGGCTACAGTGAAAAGGTTAGTGTCAAGTTAGCTCTGAAGCTCAGGGTGCTCACTACCGCCAATGAAGGTAAAATGTGAAAAAAATCTTTGTCATTACTCCGTCTGAATCATTTTCGTTCCTTACCTCCATGAGAAATAATTTTTTCTCTTTAGCGAAATCAATGACTTCTTTGGCCTGTTTTGAGTTAAGCATAAAGGGCTTCTCACACAGAACCGGCTTGCCGTGGTTCAGGGCCAACATGCACAGTCGTTTATGCTCCGGGTGAATCGAACCAATATACACCACATCTGGAAAACAGCATGGAGACTTATATCGGTGACACATTTTCCACATGCATTTTGAACTAATGTCTCTCTTTGCAAATTACATATATATATATAACCCTGATATAAGAGGTCACCGGAAACTCGCCCTTCTATTACCTGACAGTGAGGCTCCACAGAGCACAGGTGAGTTTCTAAAGAACCGGAGTGATGTATACCTAACCCACAAAATAAATAAATAAATAAATTAAATTAAATTAAACATCTAAAATTGTTGTGGCATGAGCTGGTTGGAAAGTCTTATGCAGAAAAAGATATTTTATTTAACAGAGTTTCATTCCAACTAATAATTTGAAATAATTGAATGATTTATGGAGATTGTTTCATTTACTGACCAAAAAAAAAATAAATAAAAATAATAATAATAAAAATTAAATAAAAAAATTAATAAAATAATAAAATAAAAATGAATAATTAAATAAATAAAATAAAAAATAAATAAAATTAAAAATTAAAAAAATAAATAAATAAAGATTAGCCTTCTTACCAATATTTGGGTCTTTAACTAAGTCTTCGTATGACCCATATGCTGTAGGAATGTCAAACAGTTTAGCAAACTCCTGTGCTCGCCCAAGATCGCGTGCTGCCACGGAGGCTATCTAAAATGTGTAAAAGAAATTTTAACTACAATAAGATAACTGTAAAAGGGAAGACGGCAGGGTCGGAGGACGAGGGGGGGGGGGGGTCTCGATTTCCTGGAACCGCAATGTAATGGACATATTGTGCTATTATCATAAGACAAAAAAGGAGTGAAAAGAGTATTCCCGGTATGCCCTTTAAGTATTTTACTCTATAAGGTCTATAGCTACCTACTACTAAATAATGCACACCTGAACCTGAACCTACCCTCCCCCCTTGACCTGTGTTTGCCTGGTAAATAAAATCCGCACACCACGTACGCACCGCTAATATACGGGGAGGTCTACATTCCGATCACAGAGGTCTCCATAGTGTAGTCTGTAAACAGTGTAATAAAATTGAATTTTGTAACAGACTCGCCTACAGACATATGACAGAAACCCTGTGATCACATCGATTGGAGGGTAGGGGGGTCTGTGAAAAGCGAGTTTGAGCTACGCTGTCGATTGAGATGACCCAGATAGCAGGCTTAGGTAATCTTTTTCGTGCATGGTGTATAAATCATTGGTATATAAGTTACCTGGTGATCTTCTGGGGGCAAGGTCTTCAAGGCGACGGCAAAGTCGTGACTTATTGTCCCCACGCTGCAAATTCCCCACCTCGTGGCCATGGCACCCTGATAATAGTAATATAATGTAGCAAGTAGCCGAGTCGATCACCTGTCTGTCAGTCCTGTGGCTTGGAGACGTAAAGGACTGGGCGGTTATGAACGTTTCATGTACACACACCAAATTTACGTCGGACGAGAAAGCCCTTGTGTTGACCAGCCGGTGCTTCTACTGTATCAATATGTAGGTCACGCTATCAATTATTCAAATATTATATTTAGGCCTATGTGCCAGATTTACTACCTGACTCGTACATTACTCAAAAACATACTGCGTACTACCTCCCAGCAAATCAACAGCATTAACAGATGTTTGACGGTTCCGTCTACCAAGAAATATATACCTGTAAATTCTTTGTTACTCAAAGGACTAGGACTAGAACCATGCAGCTGGATGAAAAATACTCACTCCTATTATGCATACGAACTACAAACTGAATAATCACTCGCCAGAAATGGTTAAGCCTGCATTTTTGGACCGACTTTAGTTTGCTTGTCACTAAATATTATAAAAGGGAGGGGGGGATACACCCTACTGACTGAGTAAAATAAGCATTAAATAAACTGTTTTCCATTTGTGGTCCAAATATTATATCAGAAATGTCAAATCATGATGGAATCACAATATATTTTTCAGTTAGCAACAGAAAATCCTGTTTCCTATTGCACCAAGTAGGCCTACTTGAGCAAATTTCTGACAATTTTTCTGGGGAACATACGTTACGTAGCATTAGCCATGGCTCAAAGCCACTTGAGTTACAGTTTAAATATTTATAAAAACATCCTCACGTCACATATAATTTACCATGACTGAATCATTACAAAGCATATTGTTACGTGATATAAACATTAAAATTATATGGCCCGGAACATACGTTACCGGAACATATAGTAAAAATTAAATGTAAATGTAAAACTGAGACAGCAGTGGATTTTTGTTCTATACACATTAAAAAAAATTGAATACAACTTCAAATCCATTCAATTTTATTTTTTGATACCTCAGCATGTGATATGCATCTTTATATTGGGTTTGGGTGCTCACTGTCCTCCCACAGTTACAAAATAAGAAAGGCAGAGGCTCCTGGTGAAGAACAGAAACAACATACATTTAATTAATTTTCTGATCACTAAAAAAGAAAATAAATAATAATAAATAATAAAATAAAATAAATAATAAAAATAATGATAATAAATGAAGAGAGAAAGGGAGAGAGTTCAGCCAGACACAATAGATTAGGTGATGAACAAGCGCCACCAAAGCTAATTTTGAGGGAGTCAGAATTTTTTATGCACTTTCACCTTTTCAAAAGCAGGTAAAATGCATTGGACATTGGTTTGGTAACTGGGAAAATTGATTGTCCCCAAGAAACATGCTAAAAATCAGTGGAATGGACATTTCTTCCCCTTAAAACAATAAATAAAATATATGTTTAAAAGGGGAAAATTCAGCTCCTGTTAAACATTAAGTGTAATAAGCAAAAACAATATTTCATCAANCAGAAACCCTGTGATCACATCGATTGGAGGGTAGGGGGGTCTGTGAAAAGCGAGTTTGAGCTACGCTGTCGATTGAGATGACCCAGATAGCAGGCTTAGGTAATCTTTTTCGTGCATGGTGTATAAATCATTGGTATATAAGTTACCTGGTGATCTTCTGGGGGCAAGGTCTTCAAGGCGACGGCAAAGTCGTGACTTATTGTCCCCACGCTGCAAATTCCCCACCTCGTGGCCATGGCACCCTGATAATAGTAATATAATGTAGCAAGTAGCCGAGTCGATCACCTGTCTGTCAGTCCTGTGGCTTGGAGACGTAAAGGACTGGGCGGTTATGAACGTTTCATGTACACACACCAAATTTACGTCGGACGAGAAAGCCCTTGTGTTGACCAGCCGGTGCTTCTACTGTATCAATATGTAGGTCACGCTATCAATTATTCAAATATTATATTTAGGCCTATGTGCCAGATTTACTACCTGACTCGTACATTACTCAAAAACATACTGCGTACTACCTCCCAGCAAATCAACAGCATTAACAGATGTTTGACGGTTCCGTCTACCAAGAAATATATACCTGTAAATTCTTTGTTACTCAAAGGACTAGGACTAGAACCATGCAGCTGGATGAAAAATACTCACTCCTATTATGCATACGAACTACAAACTGAATAATCACTCGCCAGAAATGGTTAAGCCTGCATTTTTGGACCGACTTTAGTTTGCTTGTCACTAAATATTATAAAAGGGAGGGGGGGATACACCCTACTGACTGAGTAAAATAAGCATTAAATAAACTGTTTTCCATTTGTGGTCCAAATATTATATCAGAAATGTCAAATCATGATGGAATCACAATATATTTTTCAGTTAGCAACAGAAAATCCTGTTTCCTATTGCACCAAGTAGGCCTACTTGAGCAAATTTCTGACAATTTTTCTGGGGAACATACGTTACGTAGCATTAGCCATGGCTCAAAGCCACTTGAGTTACAGTTTAAATATTTATAAAAACATCCTCACGTCACATATAATTTACCATGACTGAATCATTACAAAGCATATTGTTACGTGATATAAACATTAAAATTATATGGCCCGGAACATACGTTACCGGAACATATAGTAAAAATTAAATGTAAATGTAAAACTGAGACAGCAGTGGATTTTTGTTCTATACACATTAAAAAAAATTGAATACAACTTCAAATCCATTCAATTTTATTTTTTGATACCTCAGCATGTGATATGCATCTTTATATTGGGTTTGGGTGCTCACTGTCCTCCCACAGTTACAAAATAAGAAAGGCAGAGGCTCCTGGTGAAGAACAGAAACAACATACATTTAATTAATTTTCTGATCACTAAAAAAGAAAATAAATAATAATAAATAATAAAATAAAATAAATAATAAAAATAATGATAATAAATGAAGAGAGAAAGGGAGAGAGTTCAGCCAGACACAATAGATTAGGTGATGAACAAGCGCCACCAAAGCTAATTTTGAGGGAGTCAGAATTTTTTATGCACTTTCACCTTTTCAAAAGCAGGTAAAATGCATTGGACATTGGTTTGGTAACTGGGAAAATTGATTGTCCCCAAGAAACATGCTAAAAATCAGTGGAATGGACATTTCTTCCCCTTAAAACAATAAATAAAATATATGTTTAAAAGGGGAAAATTCAGCTCCTGTTAAACATTAAGTGTAATAAGCAAAAACAATATTTCATCAACTGACCCTCAATTCTTTTCTTGTGACTTCAGCAAATAAAAAAGTTATGGCATGGACAACCCTCCAAATTAACACATTAATAACTTTAATTTCATTCAAATATTCCAAGCACTTATTTTAATTTTCAAATGAGTACGACTTTTCTAAAAACAATTATAATTATACTGAATTTCTTGATACAAGCAATGAAAAAATAGCTTGCTTACAGTCTATCATAGATGGGAAATGAAACAACATGTATACAAAGTGTCCATGCTGAGATTTCAAAGTGGTTGCTAGAATATCACAACAAAAACAGCTGTTATGGAAAAATATTATTTTCACAGAGATTTATTCTTTTTACAAAATGCAAGAACAAATACTTTTTGAACCGTTAAATTTTACCAAGGTTTGACTGTACTGAGTATCTTTTTCCATAAATTCCTTTCTCTTTTTATTGGAAAAACACAGCAACATGCTATGTTGCTTGTCTAAACACAAATGTTCATTCCTGAAACCCACCAAAAAGTTCAAAAACACTTTCAAAAACGTAGCAATCATCTTTATAAACCTGGTGACCAAATAAATTACCATAATGTCACAATAATATTTCTAATAGTCTTTGACAGTTTCATGTGGCCTGGCATTGTTATGAATGCCTGAAATAATAGTCAATTACTGTAGAGAAGACAGCAAATCCAACAGCTCCAAACATACCTGCTTTCACACCAGCTGAAAAGAAAAAATATATGTATTTATTATTTTTAAAAAATGAGCACAACAATCATTAAAAAACTGATTAATTTACAAACACCTGTCCTATTTTTCCTAGCAGGAAATGTCTAACTTTAAAAAAACTAACCAGATATAAACTCCAATGACAGTAAGTCAGTAACTGATTTTGTCTGAACTCGGTGTTCTAATGGGCTACATAATATTTAGAAAACTGGCCTGAATTAATTGATGTCTAAAATACCTCAACTGCCTCTCAGCCTGATCACTGATACTTCTAATAATGTTTCACCTCAGATACCTTAATCTTGGTTACAATATATAAAATTATAAAAAACAAACTGCCAGAAAATTTAAATTTAGCATGTGTCACCTCTTAGTCCAATGAGACCTCCAGTTAGTCCCCCAGCAAATGTCCCGTTGAGAAGACCAGTTTGCCCACGATACTGGAAAATGGAATTTTAGGTCATGAAACATAATATGTTCTGTGGTTTATGGATCTCTGGCATGCCTTAGGTCAAATTTATCAAAACTGATATTACCAAAAATAAGAAGTGCAGCAGAATAAAGTAATAAAGTAAATATAAGTCCATATTTCTTGATTTGACAATATGACCTAATGAAATTATAAACGTTCATTTGAAATTTGTCCAGGTCATCAGATAAAAAGATCACACGCAGGTTTAGGGCTATAAAAATATATATCCATATCTCAAATTTCAAGCTTACCACAAATGACAACTTATTTTCAAAAACAGTACTGAATTACAAAATTTCCAAATATGCCCACAGGAACCAAACTTTTTTATATTCCCATAAAAAAATTACATAAAGGTACAGTTCTTACTGTTTCAATAAGGCATTCTGTTCCTGCAAACATACAGCCAATGACAGCAAAGTTTTTCCCATATGATATTGATCTGTTTTTCATTTCTCTTAAGTAAACACGTGTTGATGGGGTTTCTGTGGTCATTGTGCTCATAGGATCAATGGATGCCGCAAAAACTCCAAACATGGCTCCTAGTCCAAAACCTGCAATCAAAGCATCATTTTCAGTAAAACAAAAAGAATTGAAAAATATTGGGTACTTCTGCAGTCTTCTGTCCATACAACAATTTTCACACTTTAACATTTTCAAAGCAGTTTTTTTTTACATTTTCTTGTTCATTCATGTCAAAGCTTTTTAAATAATTTTCATTGGTCACAAACTAATCCGGTAACTTTGAGCATATAAAAATACCAATATTGGGTATATTTCAGTATTACAACAACCCTATATTTTCAAAGTCACATGATAAGTCATGTTACCTCATTATTAGCCAAAACACATAAATTTATGAACTGCGGTGACATGGTTGTTTCTTACATAATTATCTTTCAATGGGCTGGATCTGACCTGATTAAAAAACTCATATCTAAAAAAAAAAAAAAAAAAAAAAGGCCAGAAGTAATTACAAAAACATTTTATTTAAATAACTTTGACACAGATGAATAAGAAAATGTAAAAACTGCTAAAAAGTGAAAATGTGAAAGTTATATGGTGATACTGCAAGACTTCCAAATATTGTACATGATCTTAAAGATAGACTGGCACTTAAATAAATACGCTCTTTTTGCTCAACTATTCAAGGTGTTGTCTACTGATTAATCTTCCAATTTATTATCTTGCATGTATGATCATGTAATGATGTATACAAAGATTGGTATTTAACTTAAGTCCAGGATACTTAGTACGCTATTTTTGCTTAACTTTTCCAGGTATTGATGTCTATGTTACTGTCTTGCAAAGATTGGTATTAAAATCTAAGATTCTGTAAACTGAGAGCCAAACACGCGTATTTCAATGCAAACACACCCATGACTAAGCTCAAGGTGGACTTGAATGCACAGCTTTCAAAGGCCCTGGCAACCATCAATTCTTCCTTTGATTTTGGGAGAGTACCTGGCAAAACAGGTAGTGGAACATATTCAGAAGTCTTTGGTTTATCTTCCCCTATTAATCTGCTTACAACAGTAGCAAATGATTTGTCAGCAAGAGGAGATTTTTCAGAAACCGTGGAGCTGTTACTGCTCACACCGCCTCCCGTGGGCGCTGCCATCTTTATTCCGACCGGATGCTGTGGATGGGAGAATATGCCGAAATCTGGAAATATCTACTATGTTAAATTCAAACCAGATTCAGTTGCGATTTGTATTCGTACCCAAATAATATAAAATATAGGAACCATTTTACTGTTTAATTTATGCTAGACAGCATATTTGTAAAACAGCCAACGTTACGTACGTACCTTTCACGAATCTGCGAAATGCTTACTTATAGAAGTACCCCAATGTTTACGAAATGTCTGCTAGACGGATGTTTTCCAGGCTGAAATTAAACTCAGTTTCATCACTGAACTCTCTCGGGAAAAGAAGTTTAACATGGCCAAAACAAACTGTAAGACATAGGTCTTCTGTTGCAGCAAATGTCAGACAAGAAAAAGACGCGCAAGTCACTCAAGAAACAGATAGAGACGAACCTTACGAGAAGTTAGATTTGACCTTCGAAAATGCCACCGAAGCTTATAAAAGCAAGAAAACGAGCGAGGTTTTAAGGGCCTTGTTCGTATTTAACTTGTGCTCAGTAAGATGGCTGGTGGAACATAATAAAGAGGTATGTTTTTTAGCATATGTTTTTCTTATGTAAATCACTGTTTAAAACAACCACACACCGAGACAAGTTAATGAGCCATGAAACGGTTCGACAACAATGCGGGTTTATTATACCGTGTCACTGCCAGTAATGCTAAAACTTGTTATGCTAAGTCTTAATCATTATTCTAACTACTTTCTAAACAGAGAAGTAGCTTACAAAATGTACTTGCGTGACACACAGATATCACTAAAATTCATGGGTTAAAACTTCTGCTTTGTATAAATTTGTTTTTTCTTATATACTTGAAAAAAAAGTTGAATTTTGTGCTACACAGAGAAAGTAATTTCCTTAGTCTACCTACTTAGGGATTGAATAAGTTTATTTCTGTTAAGAGGGACAGATTTTTTTATATATTTAGTTTTTTTACTTTGTGATCCAAATCGGATACTTGGATACCAGTACTTTATAATTATTTATTTTTTGCTTTTCTTTGTTGTGGAGGAACAGAGAGCATGAAGTTTGACCAGTTACCTTATAAAGAGTCATCTATTCATATTTGATGTCATGCTGTGATATCAAATTCATATAGGATAAATCGATTGATTTTATTTCATATTGGTTTAATTATCAAATTTTAGGTGCACGGCAATGTCATGAATGTACAGCTAGTGTACATTTACTATCAGAATGGTTCCTTTAGTCAACTGAGATTGGCTTCACATTTTGAAGGGTCTGTTGGTAACCCTGAACATTGTTCTTTTGAAAACATTGTTCTTTTGAAATCATTGCAGTACAACTATATATTTTACATTTTAACACGATGCTTGAAAAAAAAATTAAATAAGAGAAAAAGATACCTGTAGTTAAGTGATCTGCAGTTTTTCAGAGTAAGGCAAACCTTTTGTTAACCTTGTGATTCAAGCTCCAGCTATATTTTTCTGTACCTTTGCAGGTGATGAAATGGAGTAGAAAACTGATGGGAAAAACTCTCTTTGAAAAAGTTATGAAAGCCACATTTTATGGTCACTTTGTGGCTGGAGAGGACAATGAAGCCATCAAGCCTATTATTAGAAGACAAGCCCAATATGGAGTGAAGTCCATCCTGGACTATGGGGTAGAAAAGGACATAAGCAGTGAGCAAGCTAAGAAGGCGGAGATGGCGTAAGTACACCCAGATTATGTTATTTCTTCATAAGAAGGTAAGCTGTTGGTTGTAGATTTATGATATTTTTATACTAAACTGAATTTTAACCATATTTGATTGAAAAAAATTACTAGTAATGTAATATGCTCATGTTTGTTTAGTTTGTGTGAATTATAATTAAGTTCATTTTTATTACCAAAATGTTACACAAGTGAGCTATCCTAAATTTACTCTTAACCTTCAGAAAATTAACCGTGCACTAAAAATATGTTGTTTTAACATAAGGCAATATTTCTGTAATATGGCCTGGATTGGGAATCATTTGTATTGTATGTAAACATGTATATTTATATTGTATGCTCTTCATTCACAACTTGTTCCTAGTGTTCTTATATCACCTTTAAGTTATGTTAAGTTGCCCCATCCTGAAGGAAAATATCATTAACAACTGGTTATAGTGGTCTGGAAGAAAGCCATCATTGTGGTTTACATTTTACTTGATGTATTCACTGTTTTTGTTACATTAATCTGACAAGTAATACGTAGGCATCTTCTAAAATAGCTCCAAGTCACCTAAATTTGCTTATAATCAAGCAAGATTTCATGGGATTTAGAGGAGAGTGGGGTCAGAAATATATGGCAGACTAGAGTGTAATGTGGCAAGAATAAATTAATCTGTGGTTATATATTTTTGGTCCTTTTCTTTTTAATTCTGCTGAACTGCAGACTATTGCACAACAGTACAACTTACAAGTTTGTCATATTTGGCATGGCAGTTTTTGCATTGTTTCTTAAGACAACCAATCCCACCACAAACAGTTTCACCTCTTTTGCTGAAAAGTTAAACTTGGGTACATTTTTCCAATTTTCTTATCTTATATGATGTCACACACTGCCAGCAGCTAAATTTTTTTTGCCATATATTGAAGGTTAGTATGAGACTGTTTATCATGGGCAATCTTTGATTAAAAAAAACATTATGTTCTGCAGGAGCTGTGTTCCCGCTGCTGAAGATGGACAGTCAGTAGGTTAGTGATTTATTTAACATACATCTCAATTTGTAATTGCTCCTTAACCAAAATATTTTGTATTTTTATGGTAAAAGAGAAAAAAAAATATTTTGTAATTTTACTTTGTTGAAAAGTGCAGAAGGTCAATAGATAAATGGTCAAAATCAACAGATGTTCGAGGCTTTTCAATACTGTAACAACAGTTTTCAAAATGATGACTTTGGAAGGCCTGTTGCTAGATTCACATGCATGCACACAAACGAACAAACAAATGCAAACAAACAAAGAACTGTGTGATCCTTACTTTGTGATAACAAGATAGATTACCAGTTAGTCTAGATCAACTTCGTTTAAGATGGAGCAGCACTAATTCACTTGTCAATGTACATGTAACCTGTTACATGTATGATGAATATTAGAGTTTACCACACGGTTATGCGATCATTTTCTTAACCTAAGATACAGATTGAATGTATAGTTTATTTACATAAGGTTATTATATGTGGGCTTTGATGAAGAAGATCGTTTGCATAAATATTCAGTGTGCTTTGTTAATTGTGCCCCATATAATTGTGAGAATCTGAAACCCAGGTGCTAGGATTATATAGCCTGAGCTACCAGTATGTTATTGGCATAGTGAGTTCCATGAATGTATGCAAGAGAATTGAAAAAATATATATAATTAAATATTCAACTAAGATCTATGTGTGTCTGTAGATGTTGGTGAAGGGGACAAATACCTTTTGGTAGAAGATTTTCATTTGAGGTTCTACACAAGTTGACCTTCATAAAAAATGTAACCTTACCTTCTTCACACAGAATTCTGTTATAGGAGTTGTCAGAATAAAAGGTCACCTGGTCTTTACTTAGTAGTTATGGGTCATTGGCCATTTATTTTTACCTACAGACTCAACAAAGAATGGTAACTTAAAGGTTATATAGTTGTTAGTTATCTTCAGTTTTTATCTTAAAATGTTTTTAGATTTGGTATTTTGAAAACTTATGATGAGTTTGAAAATAGAACTGTTAAAGTGAAATGCTAAAAGAAATTGTTTTTTAATTTTAACTTACAACCACAGAGCTTCACAAGATAAAAAAAATTGGTTTGTAGCATTCAATTAATTCTACTGACTGCAGTATGAATAAGACTGTATGGCCAAAGCTGCATTACATGTACCAGGTAGCTGTGTACAGATTTCAGGTAGCATTTATGTGGTACATGGAATGTTTAACTCTCTTTGCCCCTGATATTCAAATTACTTCTCCAGTAATAATTAATAAGTAATGAACAAGTTATTCCAAACATTGCTTTGTTAATCAACCTTTAGGTAAAACAATTTGGATCTGATACCTAGCTTGCATTTACACTGAATTATAGTAATATATAGTATGAATAAGAATGAGTGAATCAGCGGCGGATTTAGGCCGTCTTCTGGGTCTTCCGGAAGACGGTCAGATTTTCAAGTTTACATTGATGGGTATCTAATTTTTTCTGTTGGAAGTCGGTCAAAATTGGAGGATGAATCAACAAAGATAATTTGGAAGACTGTCAGTAAATAGCTCTGGATCCGCCCATGTGAATGTTGTTAGTCATCCAGTAGAATAAAAATGATAAATTATGAATAACTGGAACTTATATTTAGCAGTGTCTGTCTGTCAGTTGCTAAATGTAAGTTCCAGCATCAGAATTATTCATATTTATCATATGAATAAGAATGAAAGTTGAATATTATTAGCAGATTTTCATTTTCGACTTCTCACAGAATAGTTACAAGAGATTGATTGTTGGGAAGCTGGTCCAGACCGTTATTTTTAGTGTAGACATCCCTAATTGAAGTTCATTTCATTCACTTAAAAAGGCACACTGTTCAAAAATTAATTTTATTTTGTAGCCGAAGGATCTGATGCTCGTTTCCGTGCACATCAAGAGTTTGGTGACAGAAGAGAGGATGTTGTCAGCGCCAGAACCTATTTCTATGAGGATGAAGCCCAGTGTGATGAAAACATGGAAATTTTTAAAACTTGTATTGATGCTGTCTCTGGTAATTTTTTCATTTGAGGTTTTAACATGTATTTATAAAAATGAAACTATGAACAAGATAACTGCTGGTTTTGAGAACTATAATTTGATATTTATGAGGGAACATTGATATCTTTGTCTGCTCAAAAGCCGTAACATATGCCGGTGCTTCAATCCTCCTTACTGTTCTGATTTAACTTCTCAACATGATGAAATGCATACTATGTGTGTTAGACCTTTATATAACAAAAATCAATTTTCCTGGAAATTTCAGCATGCAGTTTTTCAATTTTCACAAGAGTATACTATGTCCAATACAGCTGACAATGTCACAATCTGTAAACCCTAATATGAGTTCTATATTCTTAATGAAAAAGCAGGTTTTCTTGAAAATTTCAGCAATTTTCCATTTAAAACTGAAGTATATATCCTACCCAAAGCCCTTACTCCAGTCTTACATTTTTAATTTTTTTCTGTCATGAGTGAATTTTACCAGTGTCCATATCCATTATGAGACTGACTCAAAAACTAGCAACTTGGAACTCAAAAATTATTAATCCCAATTCTGTAAACAGTTTGAGTTCTTATGTACCTTGGCAGTAAAGGGGAAATAGATCAAATCTCCAAGAAAAATGGATATTCGTTACATATAGTTCTGTATCACTTTGTATGTTATTAAGGTGCCACTGGAAGCACAGGATTTGCAGCTATCAAGTTAACAGCATTGGGACGACCACAACTGCTGGTATGTAAATTTTAATAGGGTGAGGATGGGGTTGGGGGATGGGGTTGGGGGTTCTATCAATAATTTGGCAAGAATTTGCTATTTTTTACTTTTAAAAAACATATTGGAGTCTTCCATCTTCAATCCATTAACTTTGCTGTCTACATTTGTTATTTTGATATTTGCTAATTTAATTTAAATAATTTTTCATTACAACCCATACTGTTAAAATAATCAGATATATGCACTCTAGCTGCAGTTGTCAGAGTTGCTGGTGCAGATGAGTAACTTGTTTGATCAAATGACTGGTCAAGAAAAAGATGTCGCATTGCGCAGAATTCGTCAAGATGCCCTGGAGAAGAATCTAAAGGATCTTGGCATCCCAATCAGTAGAGATAGCTCCCATGAATGGTTTACATGGCTGGATGTGTCTGGAAGCAGGTCAGGATAAAATTAATTTCCCCTTTTATGCTATAAAAAACTTTAGATTAAATTTGATAAATTTGTGCTTTTTTTAGATTACTTATATATTATATAATATGTTTACATGCACACAAGAAGGCACACACACTGTTAATCTTTATATATATAGTAACTTTTACTATAATACAATCATACAGATTCTTATCTCTTGCATAATTGCATTGTATTCTTGGGGGTTCTGTTTCACCTTCTGTGCTCTTTATATAATTATATTCAGGCCACCATTAAATCTTAAATTTGAACTGAAATGGATGTTTCATACACAGATGTATGCGGTGGCTGCTGGCTCAACACAGGCACACATGTGAATGTGAAAGATTTTTCAAGAAGCTTTGTAAATTGTTTACTTTTTTCAGAGAGGTGGACTTGTTTGAGTGGAGTAATTTTGTGAATATTACAAAAAAAGACATTTCCAAGAAGCTGGTTGTCCCCAACATTGAAGTGAGTATCACATTTCATTAAAGATGTCATAAGCATTGTCATAATGTTATTGTTATTTAATAATTAGCTTATTATTTGACGTGCTTATTTCTGAACATTTTATGGCAAAAAGAAATTGATATGTCTTGATTTCAATTACAGACTGGTGAACTGAATCCCTTGCTTCCAGAGCTCACCCCAGAAGAAAAAATCCAAGTCACCAACATGTTAGATAGAATCAATGAGTTAGTTGAGGTAAGAAATTTGAAATTTTTGATATCATGTACTGGTATGCAGTTACTTCAGAAGGTACCTTATATTTGTTTAAGCAAAAATGTTCATTATCTTTGTACATGTAGTTGGATCATACATGAAAATAATCAAACACAAGCCAAATATCTATTATACCATTAGCTTATGGTCTGATAAAGTCTGATGAAGGCCTATGTCCAGGTTGGCCGTAAGCTAATGGTATGAAAGATTTTCGGCTTGTGTTTAGATCTGAAGAAGTGTTTGTACTTTGAATGAAACAAAAAGGCACCGTTTTTTTACAGCATGCTGTAAAGAAAGATGTCCGCCTCATGATAGATGCAGAGCAGAGCTATTTCCAGCCAGCCATAAGTCGCCTCACAATGGAGATGATGAGAAAGTTCAACAAACAGAAAGCATTTGTTTTCAATACTTATCAGTGCTATTTGAAGGTATAATGTCTGATTATGTCTCCAGTTTCCATAATGTATGTTCTTTTCGGTTACATTCTTTGAATTACAGTACAACTTTATGTCTTAAATTGGAGTATTATGTATTTGCTTGTCCATTGTAAGTAGTAGCAAGACAACCCTTTTTGAAATCACTAATAGTAAAACATTAGAGTATTTACCTGTAAAGTACATTACTAGTTACATTACTTGTTTTGAGCATGTGTAGCATTTTGTCTTCAGAGTGCCCACAATAACCTTGTGATTGACATGGATCTTGCCAAACGTGAGGATTTTTACTTTGGAGCCAAGTTGGTCAGGGGGGCCTACATGGATCAGGTTTGGTTTTATATCAGCTTGTTTCTTTGTCTGTATTCATAACATATTACAATACAATGAAAATATATATTTGTGAAAAATATTTTATGAAATTAGAAATTAGTTCAGATAAACAAGATTAAGTAAAAGTAAATATAGTTAGAATATAGTTAGAAATAGTTGTAAAACTACCCTTCATAATGTTAAAATTTAGCATTTGTAATTTTCATGCATTTGCCAAGTAGTAAGAATATACAGGAACTATTTGATTGTTTCACACATCTTTTGTATAGGAGCGTAAAAGAGCAGAGACAATTGGTTATGAAGACCCCATAAACCCCAGCTATGAGGCTACCACGACCATGTATCATAAATGTCTGGACCACGTGTTGGAGGAAGTCCACCAACGTGAGATGGGGAGAATAGCCGTCATGGTGGCTAGTCACAATGAGGACACAGTACGAGAGACAGTGCAAAGGTGTGCCATCGGAGGTGGAGTAAATGTGAAAAATTAACTGTTACAATATGATACTTGTATGACTGAGTGCAGTAATGAAAGCATATTACTTTTTCTGTGAGCATAAGTTAAGCACACCATTTGATGTCTATTGACAATCTACCTGATTGAAAATGTGTGGTGCTCCTGTGCCATATTTAATACTGGTGGGGCAAGATCAAGATCAAGATCTTGTAGAAATATGTGGGGCAAGCTGGTAAAACTCTTAGATACTGCATGTGCCTCAAATATTGTACTCTGTTAAAGATTTTAACCGAGCCAGATGTCATCTGATACTGTACATGTATTGCACTTTTTCAGTATGAAAGACCATGGGATCAAGGCCTCTGATCGAATAATTTGTTTTGGGCAGTTATTTGGCATGTGTGATCAAGTCAGTTTTCCATTAGGTGAGTCTTGTGTAATATGGAGTTCTGTAGAATTGTTTAACAGAATGGGAAATAGATTGCGTAAAGTTTGTGAAATATGCAAATGCATATAATTTGATGTCTATCAATGATATAAAGGAACAATAAGAATTATTGAAACTTAACTACATCACTTTATTTTGAATACTATAATGACTTGATTTTTTCATTGGGGAAAATTATCAATTTTTCAGATACATTATTTAAGAATCATTAAAAATATATTTCTGTGTAGCAGCTATGGTGCTTTTTTTTAATCAGATAGAAATACAAGGTAGCCTGCTTTTCATTTTGTTGCTACCACTCCATAGAAGTGTTCAGATTTTTATGTACAGACACAGATGTGTCTGTACATATTGCCATCACCTGCGTCTGTCGTCGCCGATGCCGATGCCGTCGCCGTGCNATTATGCTGTTAACCATTATGTAATATTGCATCAGAATAGAAGAAAACACAATTTTGGGTGCTGCTGCCATGATGACCATTATGGGAAAACCATGTTACTTATGATTGCCAAACTTTCAAAAAAGAAATACAGGACTAAAATGCAGTCTGAGTTGGAAAAGCAGTCTAAGTGACTTCTTTTTCTGGAAGTTATACATTTTCAAAGTGTAAACTTGTCACATATTTTAATTACATTGGTATTACCTGTTGAGGATAATTAAAATTTGATGTTGAATTTGCAGTTTAACATAATGTATTTTTGCATCAGAATTGACAGTAGCCTATTTTGTGCATAGTTATTTCCTGTTTTTTGTCTGTACATTTGACAGCTTTGCTGCCTTGTTAGAATTTATGATATCAAAAAGTACACTTCCTGAAAAATTCACACTTTTTCCCACTGAAAAGATCCAGTCATTTAACTGTACACAAATTTTATTTCTACTGATATTTATGCATAGTACCTGGGGACTGTTCTTTTCTCTTCTTAGGTCAGGCAGGTTATTCTGTGTACAAGTATGTTCCATTTGGTCCAGTGGAGGATGTGATGCCTTACCTGTCCAGGAGAGCCTATGAAAACAGTGGGATGCTGACCAAGGTGAAGAAAGAAAAGCGACTGTTGTGGCAGGAACTCAAAAGAAGGGTGATGTCGGGAAAGATCATGCATGACCCTTTGAAAGCAGAACAGAAGGCATGAATATTAAAGAATCTCTGTATGCTCACACAAAAAGAAGAAATTTACAAATGTAATAACAAAACCTGTTTGACATGTATTTATGTGGGTGATGTACCACAGACATATAGAGATGCACATATGCTATATGTATTGAATGATGATATGTTTACCTTTGTCTTTTTTTTTTTTAGGTCTGCTTGTTTTCACTTAAGCTATGAATACCCAAAATCATCTTGTATGAGAAATTTGTCTAGTTTATAGATAATACTCAACTATTCTTGCAGCTCTCAAATCATTCTTAGCTGATTCCTAAAATAAAAGAAGAGTTTGAGGTGTTACAGAAGTATTGTTTGTCAAAATCAGTTGTGGAGGGTTTACAAATTTCAAATTTACAGATGGACCATAACTACTTCAAATTCTTTTCTTATTGTCCACAAAAATTGCATTCTGGACCATTTTTATCTCCCTCAAATTTGCAACTCACAACAAGAAGACAAAAAACAACGATGGAGGCAAAAATGACCTGAATGTAGAATGATTGGCTGATCAATTTTGGCACATTTATAGTCTTTCTTGATCCAAGAATATGCCAAAATGCCATTAAAAACCATTTATAGTTAGTCCTTCAAAGATAAATCATATAGTTGTAACTGAATTGTGGAGGTTGTAATGGATTTATACATGGATTTGGCACTTTTGTAATTATGTCAGTCTAACTTGTTTTATTTTTAAAGATTTGAAAGTGCACTTGGTTGGTAACACATGCTTGACATTTGGAATATTTTTATCCTGGTCAGCCAAAATGTATTTTAAGTCATTCAGAATAACATCATTTCAGCTTTGTACCTCCTGGATCTCCCAGATATTTTTTTTATTTTGTGTCAAATCATCATCAGGTTTGACAATTTCACATTCGAGACAGCTCAAGATATTTGCAACTTGAGCGAAAGCAGGGCATTACTGGTTGTGAGCTTTGATGACTTGTACTCCTAGTTTTTCAGCAAATAGTCCCCTGAGATTTATTTCTTACCTGTGTTCCTAAATAGGAATGAAGGAGTTTTAAAAGTTTACAAGGGGTAAACATTATCCATATTGATAGAGAGGGTCTAATCTCAATGAATTTAATATATACAGAGAACTGACCAATATGATGATACATTGCAATACACTATTTGCAGCATAAAGCAACTTACATACAGGTTATTAAATGTAATGTTTACACACATGGAATTATTTTCATCCAGTTTGATCTCTTTTTAGATATGCATAATGTTGTTACATGTACTTTTCTTCTTACAAGGCAGCTAAGTCAAGTGCTATGAAAGATGGGAAATATGCAGCTCACTTTTCTCTATTACCAACTAAATTTCTGTATTAGCAAAGGCATTCAGAACCTTTGAAATATATATGAGCAGTGCTGAGACATGTAGGGCAGCTGACTATTATTACTATTACTATTACTATTATTATTATCATTATGATCTGTTGATACACCAATGCTCAACTTAGAAAAGACTATTTTTTCACACCTTTATTTTGTAAGGCACACATGGCATAATCTACTCTACACTATGGTGTTTATGTATCATAGGATAAATATATCATTATTGATGGTAAAAGTGACCTTATTTATATTTGTTATTGTATTCATTAAAATTTATGAGCCACATTATGTATGAGGAACAATATTTCAGACATGCTATTTTACATATTTTAATTGACCCATCATGAATCTCTGAAATCCACATATTATGTTTACATTAAAGCCAATATACATGTAGTGTAGTAAACTTGGGTTGTATAACATGGATCAGGTTTGGTTTTATATCAGCTTGTTTTTTCTCTATATTCATTACATAATATTATTACAATGCAATGAAAATATATATTGTGTCTGGTAAAATTTTTGAAGGTAAAAGAATACATTTAAAAGCTTTTAGGCTATTTACAACATCTGGCTTAAAGTAATAGCATAATAGTTATGTTGGGAATTAATGGAACACATTTTAGTTCCATATATTCTATAATAAAATGAGTAATATCTGGACTATTTAGGTATATTTTCATGTTTGAAGATGATATCTCAGTTTTCAGAATTGTCATATAGTTATGCATATATATATATATATATATATATATATATATATATATATATATATTATAAAGTAAGAATGATAATGGTTTGGTGACTGAGCTTGCTTGTTGCATTATATATATGTTATATTATACAAAACTTGTTTATTTCGATTAGGAACCCTATATTTTGTTACTCAATGCTATTTTTCCCTTTGTATGTACATGTACAGCCTTATTAGTGACTGTATATAGCCAACACTTGCAGCTTTGTCCCAGCAGCTGCAGTGCAAGTTGTACGTTTCTTGCTTCTGCAATATCTACACATCTTTTCCGTTTAGCAATTCTTTCGCCTTTTTACTAAGTTTGAGAACAGAGCATTTCAGCATGCATTTTATGCATGCATTGATTTAGCTGTGAATCTTAGACTGGGTTCCCATACCTACCGGTAGTTCGATTTAACAGGATTGATCCATATCTGAGGGGTTTCTTGCTAAATTGCTTTCAGTTTAAGTGGCTTAGTTGTCTGGCACACCTACTGAAGCTGCTAAGTGTGCCAGACAACTAAGCCGCTGAAGTTGATTGCAATTTAGTGAGAATCCCCTAGCAGATAGATCGATTCACAGTTAGTACGATAGGGTCTGGGAATTAATGGTCCTTTAGATGTTTCCTTATCATTATCAACACATTTAGACTAATATACAGGTACATGTAGGCTTTTACTTATAGCTATTCAGTGTGATGCTGGCTGTAAATACAATTGCCAGCTTAAGCCGGGCAAATTTAATCTTTTCTGAACATAAATTTATGCTTTTTGTTCTCTGCAAGTATTTTTCATGTTAAAATTTTTCTCCATATGATATTCAGTATTATAATCATAACTGACAGAGCAATCTGTTATTGTATAAAACACTTCCAAGTGTTGTGACCTTGGCCTTTGACTGGTATACTTAAATGATATTGTCTTTACCAGTGCTTTGAGAGAGAGACAACTTAATAGCCTGGCTGTCATATAAGTGAGTCGCCTAAATGCCCCCCCTCTTGACATGGCCAATTAAGAAGCAAAATTGTGAAAACCAATAAAAAAAACCCCATAGCATAATTACGTGTTAGGACCTCTCAAAGTTTTCTGGTACAGATTGTATTACTTAGGTATACTGTTCAATGTAAAAAGGGCCCTACCGTAGTATTCAGGCAATTTTATAGACATTTTATAGAATATATGTCAGTAAGTGGCACATACTAGTCTCAATGTACTGCAAGGGGTTGTTGTTATGAGGGAGCACATGTACTACAAATTTTTTGAGGAAAAGGAGATTAATATATACTTTGGACAGTGACAAATAACTAATACAAAGTTTGTTGATATTAATGTTATTTCTTGAAAATATTAAAAAAATAAAAAAGGGTTCATAACACAGTTTGAACTTGTTGTCATCTGCAATAACCTCAGGCAACAGAAAAATGAAAACAAGTTTGTTTTGTCAATTATTTCACAGTGACACTTGATTGATACAGATGTTCAAGTGAAACTCCCAGTGAAGTCCATATCCAAGATTAAAACTAATCTAATTGTTTACATATTAAAAGCTAACATTGTTAGTCAAGTGTTCAAATTATTTTTGGCTATACTCCATTAAAATATATTTTGATTGTACATCCAATTATTCCCCAAAAAAATGCAAAGCAAGGGCAACTGGCCATGGGCTTCAATTATTCATTCATAACGCTATCCAAATGCACTTTCTAGACTATTCATGTGATCCCCACTTTTCACAGTTCATTCCACATCAAATATCAAAGTTTCAAATACAATGAAATATATATCAGGCAGATAAAAATGTCTCAGAAAATATCATTTCTCTATGAACTACTATCTATTATCATACTGACTCATATATTGCCCCTGCCCTGGCAAATAAGCTTTGAAAATCCGAAACCCAGCATTAATATTCACAAAAAAAGCTATTGACAATTGCAAAATTTTGCATTTACACAGTTTTTACCATTTGTTAAATTTTTAAGTTTGAAAAAAATGTTTTTGATCCACTTGGCTTACCCAACTGATATTCAATGAGTTCTTCATTAAGGCATATAATAAATGCTTGAACAAAATTTGTTTATTCACTAAAATTGTATACAGAATTTTTGTGTAAATATAATTTTTGATTAATTTAGACTCCCGCTTTTCTGACACTTCAGAAAGAAATTTCAACATCAGGTACTTATTTCATTGGAGGAGTTTTATCATTTTTAATGTCTGTATTGGGAAAGATGGGCAACTCTGCACAGTACTCACTACAGTGCTTACACATAAAAACAGGACTGGGAATTTTCCAAATGCCTATACTGGTAGCACACCTTTAAGTTGAGAACATATTACACCAGAATAAAACTGTTTTTTCAGCTCTATATTATCCATATAACGAATTATGTTACCTTATATTTAATTATATTGCATAAACAAAAGATAACCGAAAAAATATTGTCCCAGTGAACCTTAAATTCTGTAATATGAAGTCAATCTTTAAGGCATTCCACCTTAGTACAAAAAATACTATCTTTCAAATGGATTTTTTAAAATAATGTACAGACACAGATGTATCGTTACACATAGCTGTTGCCTGTGTCTGTCATCATCATCACCGTGCACATTCAGTGTTATACAAATAAGATGAAAACTGTTTTACTTTTTGTGTTCAAACTTTAAGAACTGATAAATTTTGATAAAATACAGGCCACGTTAAAAAATCAGCCTGATGGGAACATTTTTCCAAAAGTTATGCTGTTTTTTTTGTTTTTTTTTTAGAACATTTTATCCACCTTTTTACAAATAAAATGAAAACTGTTTTACCTTTTGTCTTCAAACTTACAGTACTAATGATTATTCTTAAAATACAAGTCAAGTTTGAAAATCGGCCTGATCCACTATTTTTTCAAAAGTTATGCTGCTTTTTAGCTTTTTTCAGCATATTTTATCCACCATTATACAAATAAAGTGGAAAACGTTATATTTTGCTTTAAAACTTGCAGGACTGATACAAAAGTCTGATATAGAGGTCAAGTTTGAAAATTAACTCGATTAGTTTATTTTTGTTGAAATTAAGCTGTTTTTTGTATATGAATGGGTTTTCCTCAGATTCAGTATGGAACTGATTTTATTTGTAAAAGTGTTCTTTGACATTTTCTGCATCGTAATAATTTTTTAAGTTGCTTATAAAAAAATAATGGTAAATTTGTTATTGTGTATTGCATAATAAAGTGTCAAAAATGGAAATAAACTCAAATCAGTGCAGTTTGTTAGAATCTCAGGATGAAACAAATTGGACATTTAAAATTGTTTTATTGATATTTTTCCCATCTTAACAATCTTTTTAGTTGATCATTCAAAAATGAAACTAAGTTGGTTATTGCGTATTATGTAATAAGTGCTGAAAATGAAAATAGCACGTTTCAGTGCTTGTGTATATATTGGCATTTTCATGGAGTGACTGAATTCCCTTTGGACTGAAGACCTTTGCTAGTCACATTTTCTAGAAATCTATGTTACTGCAGTGCTTAATTTAAATTGATGGTGATTATAATTGTTAAGCATTATGTAACATTGTATCAAAATTGTTAAAAAATATTTTGTGTACTGCCACTAAAGGGAAAACCATGTTGCTTGTTATTTTATAACTTAGAACAATGATTAACATACAGCTCATATTGGCAAACCAACTTGATTGGATTATTTTTATTCTTGTTGTCTGTACATTTGACAGCTTTGCTGACTTGTCTTATAAGACACTTCCATATAGGCCATAAGAAAAGTTCTGAGTTCCTATGACTTCAAGTTAAAATCTAAGAAATCTCCTCCTGAGTTCTCTTTGCAGAAGGCTCCTCTCTTTCCTTGCTCCCATGAGCACAGATTTGTTCTCCTGTGCTCTTCTGGAGAGATATGGCAAGGTTTCCTCCACAGTGCCATAGGGAAGGGACTTGTAGATCTGGTAACCTGCCTGGCCTAGAAAGAAGATGTTCATCTTTAGCAATATTTTTTTACTTAAAAGTCCCCTTAGCCAAAAGAGGGCATTACCAAATTAATCCCAACCTGCCCATAAAATACAGGCTAGTGCACCCCTTTTATCGGCTTTCTGGGAGGTTTGCGCTAATTAAACTATTGGTCCAGAACTTGGATCAGATAAAGTGAACATTTTTGCTTTTCCTCTTGTACAAGAGGATATTGTAGTTCTAGATTTATTTGAAATATGCTTAGCCTAATAGACAGGAGGTGCTTACTTAACTGTTTCATCTAAATTGATTTTTTCACAAAATAAATTTGCTTCCAGTGCTCAATGGGTTTGACTTGTTTTCAAAAATACTGTAAATCTGAAACCACTAGGGCCATGGATTTGGCTTACCCAAAGGATAGGACACCTGGTCACACATGCCCAATAACTGGCCAAAATACACCAAACCACTGTCTCTGGCAATGCCAAGTTTCTCCATTCTGGAATACAGTATATTAATCCAACAATGTTTTGAAAAGCATTATGGTTTGAAACTGATATTTTTTTCTAAACAGAAACAACACATCAAACATTTCTGTCACCCAGATAGCTCATAAAAACACTTTTTAATGCTACCTTACTCAATTTTTTATCTTGCTGTACAAGATTTGGACCTGGTCATTGCAAGGAAATTATTACTGCGATTCTAGGTAATTTGTAACTGCATGCACCTGCAATTCTTTTCTCCCCAAAACACTTCCTTTTAAACCTTGCTTAAAGTTTTAAACTCTTTCTTCATCTATGTCATGTATGCCTACCCCTGAATGGCCTTCCTGACCGACTCCTCATTATGACTGGCAACAATAATATTGCACTTTTCTCCACAATGACTGATATTATGCAGCATTGTCTCCACCACCCTGTTGTAGCTGGAACTGGTGTCCTTGTAGCTGTCACACACTGGGTTGGGGACTCCCTGCCGCTTTGCATACTCCTCTTCACAATTTATATAGGCTCCTCGGACTATCTTGGCTCCAAAGCACAGTCCCTTGTCCATGATGGTGGCATAGTCTGCAGTGATGGCATTGTAGGCTTCCTGATTTGGCAAAAAGGTATAAAACAAAATAAAAAACAAGAAGTGTTTTATATGATGAGTGTGGCTATATATATATATATATATTATTGAAAAAGGTATGGATTCCTATGTCCTATATAGTTACCTTGAGGTAACACTGGTAAGTGTTCCAAATCAGAGGGATGTCCTTGTTGAAGTTCAGCATCATAGCTAATGCTGCCAGGCTAATGCCAGGGTTCATGTGGGTGTATTCTGCATCCACTAAAATGTAAACTCCCTTCCTCTGAGCAAACTGAAATAAAAGGTGATTTTTATTTTGTAATTGGAGCATGCCAAGGGAATCAACAATGTGTCACTGTGCATACATTTTTTAATCAAAGTGATTTATCATTTGGAGACCATACATGTAGTCATTAAGTTAACCACTCTTCCCCTTCCTCACAATGATCCCCACTGACCTCTCCTGCTTCTCTTAGTCTCTCTAGCCCCCTGCACCACTGCCTGATCTCTGCCTCAGGGAGGCCCTCCACTTCATACAGCAGACTGGGTGTGTACATGGCCTCTGCCACCTGCTCTATGCTTATACCACCATAAGTATACATCTTAGATAAGGTGATCTGGAAAAAAATCAAAACCCTTTGTAGGCTTAAAGGGATAATAACTCTTCGTATGAGATTTATATATCACAATAAAAACATTGTGAATAACTCATACAAATATAATATATTCTGTTTTACCACAAAACCAGCAGTTACACTATTATTCTGATATGTAAGTTTGTCTTCAGACCACGTGACCTCCATTGAAGGCTATACTCTGTTATAATCTCTTAAGAGATTTTAACAAAAAACCAAACTTTTTAGAAAAAAAAAAGGGACTAACTTTGAATGTAAAAATGGATTCATTAACCATTGGTAAGTATGGGAAAATTGTTGTTTATTCCAGGAAAATTCATTTTTTGGCCAAAACAAAGAGTTATTATCCCTTTAAAATTACTAATTAAAAACTGAAAAGAAAAGCTCTTAAGAGAATATCTTCAGTATTTTGGCTAAAATCATGATTAATATATCCCTCATGTCTAAAACCTATCAATCATCAATTTAATAAGTTAAAATACTTAAGAGGACTTCTATTGGCACTTCTCTTCCCTTAATTAGCAGCCACCAATCTGCTGGGCCCCAGTCTTTGCCAAGAACCACAGGAATACTACTGGCTTCCTTAATCCAGCTTTAATTTCATGTAGTGGGATAGTTATTCCATAACTTATTGCCCCATTACATGCCTTTGTCACAACTGATATTTATCACTATATAGAAAGATAATAAAAGAACGACGACAACCATACCCAAAACCACCTGATACATGTATTTAGCAACATTTCAAAGATGTTATGCAGTAAACTTCACAGAATTCAATGTAAATATAAAGTCTTCCGTTACCCCCACAATAAATAAATAAATAAATAATTAACCAAAAAGTGAGGCCAAGTTACCAATAATTCAGCTGGCATCAGTGCTGTCACCTTTAGCTGTATCATAGGGCGCCCCTTACTGAGCTCACTGGCCATCTGTATGCAGTCTAAGATAGTGGTCAAGTTGGCATCATAGCCCACTTCTCTAAATGTGAAGTACAATGAAAAAAATTTCAACACTATCATGGAGAAAATACAGAAAAAAATGATATTATCTTTCCCCATGCAAATTATTAAATAGAAGCCAAAGACCCAAGTTTGAGACTGCAGAAGCTTGCATTATTGTATGTTCGCACATGATTAAATTCTAAAAATACTCACATATAGTTGCAGTATTTGTATCTGAGATATGAGAGGCCAACAAAGTTAATGTAAAGACAGTTTATGAAGCAATTGGTGGTGCAAAAATAAATTAGAAAAACAATATTAATATGACTTTTTCTTGACCAAACCTGCTTGAAGAGTTACAAACTGCTATTACTGAAAATAAAATGTAAGAATATATATATATATATATATATATATATATATATATATATATATATATATATATATATATATATATATATATATTTTTTTTTTTTTTTCTGTATTAACTATTTCAGTTACCATGATAACATAAACACTTATGTTTCCTTAAAAGATTTTTTCTCTTATTTTCTATGTTAAAAACTGAAAAAGGGACTAAGTGATCTCCATTAAATAACCCTTTTCCCACTGTTACTCACAAAAATGCAAAATAAGTGATTACTTTATATACTGTGTTATGAAAGAACTGGCTCCAGGGCTCTGCATGGGCTGAAAAGATACACCAATGGCAAGTTATATAGTTACAGTATAATGGATTAACAATAGGTGTTTGTATAACCTGTGTGGTTACTGGGTTTCAAGTTACAGCTAAGAAGTGATGACCCCCTTTAAAATGTGTGCACCATATACAGGTCTCATAAAGCAGTTGTGCAGACATATACACAATAATGTGTTATCAATATAAAGTCAAATATCTTATGCATTTATCTAATTTTATTCATTTCAATACTGTAACAGTTAAAACTATAGAGGAAAGAATGCCGTTTCCCAGCAAAGCAAGCCAAGAAAGAGATGAAAAGATAGAAACATATCAGAAAAAAGTTTTTTAAATTAAAAAAGAACTTCAATCAATATTGTTGTATGCGTTATAACAGTACTGGCTACTTTAACTCTCATAGTTATATTTCCTACTAATTAACTTACCATTTTGAAAACTTACAAGTAGTACAGCTTGAGTATATTAAAAAACTAAAAATTCAGGGTTAATTGTTTCACTTGTATGATAACAAGACTAAAACTGGAGAGACATTTGTTTGGTGCCTGCTCACCCAGTAGGACCATCTTCAATGCATACAGCGAGGAGTGGTGTCAGGCCTGCCTTCTGCATTATGCTCACAGTTTGACCAATACTCCTGTGGTCATCACCAGCCACAAACTGGTCATAGAATATTGGTTTCACCAATGCTCTAAACGGTCTCTCTCCTAAAACTTTCTGTCCAAGTCTGAACAGCTGTAAATTTAAGGTATAGCAGAGCATTAAACAAGTGCATGGGTGTGGAGGGTGGGTGTGTGTGTGTGGTGGGGGGGGGGGGGTACCAAAACTGTCAAAATAAAGCCAACTTAGTGCAAGACTTATCAAAGAATTATTTTGAGTAAAGACTACAAAAATTATCAAGGATTATCATTAAACACATGAAAGTGAAAAGTGTAATTAAAATCTGTCATTGGGATTAACTTTTGCCAATACATCTAATTCACCTCTATGCCTTTAACAATATTTCAGCATGAAGTCACATATTTTGTTGCTTTTTATTTTCAAATTATGTGATGCTGAGTACTGCCTGTAAACACTAAAAGTTAACATCTCAATACCAGTATATTGTTCCGCAATTGCCTTTACACCTTTATACTAAGTCATGCGTGTCACGTTAGAACATTTCGAACAAGGCTTGTCAACCTGCATAACTTTTACACAGTATACAGTAAATTCTAACAGCATAAATATATAAACCAACAAAAGATGTTAACGCACAGTATTCTGTGAAATGTTACCTGCAAACTGTTATCCACAAGTCTATCAAACGAACAGAGTCGAAGAACCAGTAGAGCCCTGCAAAGTTCCCAAGTTGTTTTTGTTTTGAAAGCATTTTGGTGGTCTGTGAAATTCAGGTCCAGTGTAGCGATGGCTGGGTCGGCCTCACCAAGGCTTTCCTTCTTGCCATTTGTTTCATACGCAGCAACAGCCTTGCAACGATGCTGAACGCTTAATACTCGGGCTAGTTTTACTCTTTCATATGCTGCGTTGCCAAATGGTCGAGAGAATTTCCGAAACAACGAAAAGATGTGCAAATACATCGTCGTGCCCCAGTTTGAAATTGACACCACTGCCACTGCGCTGGGGCATGTGACGTAGATGTAAATATTGACAAAGTGACCCGACCTTCACCTTGATATCATGGCTGTGGAGTTGGAACAGGAGGAACTCCGGCAAATGGTAAGAGTTTACTAGAGAGGTGAAGCATTGTAAGTGGGTGGAAACGCATATACAACAGGCATAACATAACGCTTCTATCTGAATATGAGAGAGGGATTAAATTTGCAGGGCAGTCATGTACGAACTTGATGTGCTAGTCGCCGAATCGCTGTGTGGCGCTGAAGCAGTGCGAGACGATGTACAGGTAGATTTCCCTCAAAATTTACAACTTTACAGGGAAGTGTGATTTTGACATTTAAATGAAAATGTCATTTCCTTCTTAACCTCAATCTCGCTGCCCCTTGGGGGAGGTGATACCTTTGATTTGTGCCACCTAGGGCGGCTGTGGCTATTCATCTGACTCATCCCTACTCAGCAGTTTCTACTACTGTACATGTATGTATTGTCGGTAGTAGTTCTGTTTGATTCTTGCTGGCATGGACACGACTGGGTTAATCCGAGTTATCTGTAGCAACATGTAGCACTATTTTTTTTTTCAAAAAAAAAATTATTATGCATGCTCAAGTCATAACTACTGCCAATGAGATAATGTACAAACTACAGTATGCATACCAGTAATGCAAATCTATTGCTTTTAAGTTTTAAAAAATCTGCTTTCGATGGCAGGATCAAAGATGGGCTGATATAGTTGGGCTGGTGAACCAAGCAATAAATATATTAAAGATATATGGCCGGACTTTCTCAGAGCACCAAAGGCTCTTTACTTTTCAGCAGTAAGTGACATAAATGCACTAGCTAGTACATGTGTATATAAAAGAGATGACATAAAGAGATGACATAAAGAATTGAAATGATATAGAGTGGAGTTGGATTTTAATATTAATGAGCACTTTTACCTCAACAAACACGTACTTTGAAATACTAGACTACCATGGACTACCTGTGCTAGACATTATCCACTATTGTGGCCTTGATGCATATTTAAATTGATCTGAGTATGAAACAAAAGAACACCTTAACCGGCATCCTGTAAATATGTGCATAATAGATCCTTTGTTCTGAAAATGTTAATTTACTTGGAGAAATCACATCTACTTAGCAGCGCTTACATGGTTGCATGAAATCAAAATGTCTTTTGTTCCTCAAATTGATTAATTGATTTTGTGACATTGACAATTAATCTACCTCATATAAGTAATTGTCCATAAAAATTATTAAAAAATTGTAAAGATGAGTTATCATGCATCATTATTATCATCTTTCCTCATGTTTGCAGGAAACTGAAGCACAATGGATACTGAAAGAAGAAGTTCACAGTGTATTGGAAGAGGTAGAAGGCGTATTGTTGGTAAGAATTTCCACCATATTTAACACTTAATGCTTTGAATTCCATGATGTGTACCTAAAATTTACATTCAGTGTCATTGTGTAGTTCACATAACTTTTCTGCTATCAGAGATTATTTAAAAAATATTAAGCGAGATACAGAATATAATGTAACCAATCACTTGTGATGCTAAGATTGAATTAAGTCAACAATGCTGTTTAGAACAAGGAGGGCAAATGATAAAATGTGTGTTACAATAGATGATTTATAAACTTTGGGTACTGTACACCAGTGGGGCAGTGTGAGAAGTTAACGTTTTAAATCACTAGATTGTCAGGCTAGTAACTTGGAAATTTTTTGCTTGCAGCAAATCATTTTTATTGGTCTAATAAATATATGCTTTTTTAGTCTTGGTATGTTGGATTGTGCTTATTTCCCACACTGCTGAGACCATGTCTTCTGCTAAAAAGGTTTCAGAAACTACTGCCTAAAGAACATTTGAATATTAAATTTTGACTGCTAAACTAAGATTGTTTTTTAGGCTCATCTTCACTTCAGAAAAGCTAACTGGCACCATATTTTCAACATATTTGTAAATTTTCTTCAAAAATAAGGTATCCAGATACAGTGACAAGATCAGTAGTTGAGACTCATATTTGAAAGAAATTTAGATCAATAGTTAAGACTGGTAGAATAAAGTACACTCCTGTAGAAAATCAATAGGTAAGATACAACTTATGAAACTCATTGATCCACAGGTTTTCTAGGAGATGCTATGCTCCCAAGAGAACATTATAGCTTTTTTGATATACTGAAAGAAGCAATTGAAAATGTTTTGAGGGTTTTTAAAATAATCTTAAAGTTAAGGATACATAAAGGAACCAGTCCAACATGCTGTGTATGCTTCACAGTGGAGAAGAACAGAAATAAATACCCTTTTAGACATTTACGTTGCTTGTTTTTTATAGTAATAATTAAATTGAATATGAATGCCTAAAATTTCTAGTGACAGAAAATCATGCCACAATGGAGCTTTCACATAATAACTCAATTAAACCTTTCCAGAAAATTAAATTGTAAAAGCAGAAAAATAACAATAAAATTATGATCAATAGAATTGAGTTTCTCTCTGCATCTTCTGAAGTCTAAATTAAAGATCTGTTGAATAACGGGAATTTGTCTCGTCATTAGCGTTTCCTTGTTATTACACATTTCATGGGAAATGTCAAATTGCATAATTTCGGTGTAAATTGAATGTTAAATCATTCAGATGCAACTGTGTCTATATGGGATGTTTTAGTACAAAACCTGGGGGCCTCAGGGTTGAATGACAGGCATCAATAGTCATTTTAGTTTTTAATTACTCCAGAAAATGTTTACAAAATGTACCTGTTTAGGCTTAATTCATAATTTGATGTGAAAAAGAAGGTTGCAAATATGATTCCAAATTTTTTTAAATTGTAAATATTGATGGAAAAATTGAATAATAGTGATAAATTATAGTACATTTATGTGTTTCCTCCAAAGAGATGCAGTTGTTTCGTCTACAAAGTACAAGATCTTAAAATGTGTTTGTTTCTTAACTGATCTACATTAATGTTTAAAAATAGACAGGTATGCAGGCAGACAGGTGATCAGTGAGCATAATTACATAAGGATTGAGATACCATGTGGATATGTAGGTGTCAGTTATTTAATTAAAAGTACAATATGACTGAAGATGTCTGATGTTTGCACAAGTTTGCATGCTTTATCAGGAAATGTATAAAAGTGTTTAAAGTGCTCAGGGAAAAGAATATTTTGAGTCTTTTAAGATCACTCTACATCACTTTTAAGATCTAAAGACTGCTACATGTGTCTTCAACATCTTCAAACTATACTTTAAATTCAAAGTATTGTTTCATTGTGAATATTACTTAATGCTGAAGATACTTAAAGCACAAGTGTTTTCTTTCTCTTAGTTCCATTATACAAATATCAAACTTATTATTAAAAAAGGTAAAAAAGAAAATATCCCATATAAAGATACATAAATAAATTAAAAGGAGTGTGAATTCTACAATTAAAGAACTAAGAGATAAATGTTTTCCAAAAAGTCACATCTCAACAAGTTTAATACATTTGCAGTTAATGCTAATATTGTGCTTCGAAATTGAGAGATGAACACACACCACACACTTCCTTTGTTACCAAATGGCAATATTATTATTATACTAATTTTACTGGATTACTCTAATTCTATTGGATGGTGTAAAACATTCTCTCATCAGTATTATTATTATTATCATTTATTTATTTATTGCATTAAATGGTAATAAGTACACCACTGTAAAGTTAGTACTGTAGTCTCACTCTGGTTGTAAGGGTTATACTGATGAAGAAACTGTAAAGGCGCTGGAGATCGTTGAAGATGCAAATATGTAAAATACTAACAATAAAGATGGGCGACAAGTTATTGCTAGATCAATATGGATGTACATAGTGGTTGGTGCTTCCTGTGAGTTGTGATTGTAGCACCAATTTAGTAGAACTCTGTTGATTATAAAGCAGGATGACTGTGGTGGTAGATATATTGAAACTCACTTAATATTACACACACTGAGACAAGACTTAGGTCCCAATAATCCAGCTATGAAGCCACTAATGAATGACACTTTTTCCATTGTTTTCTGGTGAAAATATTAAACATTTCCTTTTATACAGTTTCCAATTATATAACTGTGCTGAGTAGTATGCAGATAAGTGAGACATCCTAAACAGTTATGTCAGACAGGAATTTGAAAAAAAAAGGATGTCTCTAGCTATTAATTCTCTTAGTATTTAATCTCCTGGCATTTCATTGGGGAGTTGTCTCCACATTCTAGGTGCTGTACTGTGCAAACATTGGATAAAAGCTAAGATCAATTCTTTAATTGCATTGAAGGGTTGATTCATACATTTTAAGTAAATTGATCAGCTCATTCATAAAGTCACTGTAACATTTAACCCTCTACATCACCTTTATTCTTCAACAGATAGTGCATGGCCATGATTTTGAGAATATAAGTTAAACTTTATAACTTGTACTGATTTTTTTAATTTCAGACCTACATAGGTCAGTACTCTGCCATTTTAGTAAAATAAGTTGAAAACAAAAAGGTGCACTAAAATGTGTGTGTGGAAAATACAGAAAAAACATTATATTTTCAGCAATTCAGATAAAGATAATTATGTTTTTGCAGCACCAGAATCCATTGGCAAGGAATGCACTCTATATCCATTTTTAATCATCTAATGTGATATCATAGTTATGCAAAATAAAAATTGGAGATGAGTCTACAAAAAGGCTGATAGCTCTTGCACAGTATGATGCTTACCATAAGGCGAAGCAACTAAAATGACTTTGCTCCCTTACTACAACATTCAGGATTGATTTAGGGTTAAACAATCAATATAAATTATTGAGTTTTAAGTGAGGCTGGAAGAAGATAAATGTTTGGGCACCCTTCATGTGCCAGCAGTTACCTTTTCATTATTAACTTGGGAGCTGCAGCCAGTGATGTTGTCTTTGCTGCAGGGGTTTAGAATTTATATAGAATCTGATTGTCAATAAAAGTTTCTTAAATTTAATTCATGTAGAAAACCCTAGTTTAATTTACTTAATATATCATCAAAATTATAATTATGGCTAATCAGAATGAAGACAAAACATGAGGGGTGTAGGTTCAAATCTCCTGGAAAGCCTGCCAAGGCTAGTGTATTTTGCTTTGGCCAAGTAGCGCATCTTGTTCCTTCTTACAGTGATTTATGGCTACTTTTTTACATTAATTTTTCATTACTTTTTCCTACTTTACTTGAGGAGTGATAAAGAACTCTGTACTCAACCCTGATCCCTGTGGAGTTTGTTATGCAGTTGTATGTTTTAATTTTCAATTTTTATTTCTTATATCACCTTCAATTTTATTTTTTCAAGGAATGCTGTCGGAGGTTTACATTAAAGATTGGATCAAGTAAGTATAATATGCTTACAACATATTAAGGCACTTTTTGAAGTAAACTTGTGAGAACTAAGGCACATTTATGTTTTATATGATTATGAATGTTATCATTTTCTTGTTTTATTTTAATTCTTTATATTTTGTTATTACACTACAAAATCTGATATATCCTTGTATTTATCTTTAATGAATATTTATTTGATTGTGTTTTGTTTGTGACACATTATAATGGGATGGAGTCCTCTATTTAATTTCTATGGTAAGATTTTGATTTTTTTGTATCTTTAGAGCTTGGTGATTATGGTTACTATTTTTGTCCTGCATCTACATGACTTATTTGTCCACTCTATTCCTGACATATTGAGATGTCATCCTTGGTTTTATCATTATAGATAATTGGTGCAATTAGTGATCCCCATTTAGTCCATGTTGCTTTATGTAGTTATCTAGTATATTCATGATCCTTTTTTATTTTCTGAGACATCACTGAGCTCCTCTCACTGCCATTGTCTTATGTTGGATGGTCTGATTGTCACCTGGTTTTATGTTTTTTTTCTAATAGGAAATAAAATATTGTTTCTGTAGCGCCTTAGCTGGATATCTTGTCTCACTAGTATAGGTTCAAATGGTGTCGGTATTCCTCATTATCAACAAGAGTTGGCCTGGTCAGCATCACTGCCTTGTTGAGTGTGTGGGGGGGGGGGGGGGATCACTGGAACACAATGACTGATGCCACCTTGCTGATGTTTCAAGGGATGGATATGTTATTTTTCTTTTGTAACCAATTGTGATTGTGGCCTGTTGGGTGAAGGGTGGGTGGGGATGAGCCGTGGGGCAGGAAAGGTTTACTGTAAAATTGGAAGGTTGAGCTGACAGTTGCCTTTTAATTTGGTCTTACCTTCACTCTTATTTGTCTCAATTTTATTATCATTTATCTTTTCTCTTATATGGCAAGCCAGTAATTGCAGGTACATGTAGTGCATCTTTTCCCTTTTTTGCTATCTGTTTTTTCCAAACTGTCGTTGGTTTGTGGTTAGAAGAACAGAATAGATTGGATTTCCTCCTCTACTTACCGGTATTATATAAATAAATGTAAAAAAGTAGTCATTTCAACATCTACATGTGTAGATCATTTTAGATATGTGAAATCGGGTAAAACATATTGCTGAAATTTTGATAATATATTGATTCTTAGTTTTGTATTCTTCTTCAGATGAAGACAACCTCGTGAAACCAGACAAGTTCATATTATCAAGCCCTACGTAAGTAAACATATTAGCAGATGCTGAAATAATAAATTGAGGGACAAAAAAATCTGGTCTGAACTATTTTCTATTTGAGTGAATCCTATAGTCAAAGATCATTTTTGAGGGCGGCAAAAACTGCAGTCTGAGATTGATTTGGTGTACATATGCTGTGCTCTCTCCATTCCTGAACAACATACTGTATGAAACGGCAGAAAACATGAATCACAGATTTCATCAGTCAGAAAGCACTACAATCATGTTATATTGAATGGAATGGAGCCATTTGCAAATATGATCAAATTCTTATTCTGGAAAATGTGTACTTTGGTATTAAACTGACTCTTTTTCAACCAAAGATTTTTAGAAACTTGGCAAATTCTTATACTGGAAAATTTGTACTTTGGTATTAATCTGACTCTTTTTCAACCATAGATATAACAAAAGATACACATGTACACATTTTTAGAAACTTGGCATGCATACTCAAAATCTGAATGGATCAATATCTATTTAATGAAATTAATGAAATTCTGTACAGTTTGTGACTTCCCTAATTGTTGTTTATTGTTACTGTAAAATAATTAATGAAAGTAGTTCCTTTTTTATTGATAAATGTTTTGTGATGAAATGTGCTCTCTCTCTCCCCCCTCTCTCTCTCTCAGATATCGTATATGTAGTACATGTGCCAATAAATTTTAGTAAGAGCAACAGTCATATACACTGTAGCTATGAATAATATACAGTGGGAGCATATATTATTAATAAACCTTGCTTATTTTATTACAGAGGCAGTCCAAACATGAAATGTGTCATCACTCTTATGGGGGACAGTATATGTGAAGCAGTGAGTGTCACAGGGTGGTTATCTTGCAGTCTTTTGAAAGGGGGACACGCATTAGCATTTTTGCTGAACAAAAGACAACATGCACTGTTCATATGGTATATTATTGGTGAACCATCTCCACTAACCACTTTGACTAGATCCAATTTAATGGTGTTTGACATAAAACTGAAATAATTGCTCTTCTCCACAAAGAAAACATTTCTGTTCCCCTTCCTATTCAGTGATCTTAAATCTTTTTATATCATTACAGGACCTTCAAGTAAAAGTTCACAGGCATCAAACACAGATTTTTAAAACTGGTATACAACCTGATGAGCCATGGAAATTGCAGCAAGTAAGAGGGCTACATGTGCTATGTGTACTCTGATCTGTTGATAGGCATATTTGCTGTGTGATCTTTACCAGCATGTTTGTAGGAATATTAGACAAATATACAGGGGCGTAACCAGGCATACGCACGGATGCACTGTGCGTACAATTTTTTGAGCCAACCATGATATTATTCTCCATAAATTCAGTGTATTTTTCACAGAATATAATCGTATCTGTGAATTTTCAAAATCTGTGCGTACAATTTTAAAAGGTCTGGTTATGCCCCTGAATATAATATGACATTGCAGGCTGTGTAAGCAATATTGCTTCACTATGTTCATGCATAATGTCAGAATCATTAGCAAATGAGACATTGTAGTATCATAGACACATTACACAGAATGAAATGTCGTTATTTCATCTTTATGTCAGATCCAAGACGCAGGCAATCATCTGGCGGAGGCTCTCCACACTGTCAAAGAGCATGGCAGAGAACATCAGTTCAAATCTGGAGAAGAAGTCACCATTGTCAGTGGTTTTGATTGAATTTTATTTCAATTTTTTACTAAGTCTGCTAGGGAGAATGTCTGAGGGTGCATTTAATATGAAAATCATAAGTTTATAGTATTAGCAGTTGACGGACAACATTTTTAAGTTTGTGTATAAATTTTGTTAACAATATTTCGTTGTGCAAACTTATAGACTGTCATCTACTTATGTCTTTTTTTTTCGAATTTCATTTTAGCTGCTCGACAGTATAATGAAAAGCTTAAACACAGGGCGGACATGTTTAGTTCTTCCAAAAAAGAAAACTCTGGATGAATTACTGAATAACAGAAATATGGTAAAAGATTGATCAATTTTTCAGAAACACTTTCAGACTTCAAAGTGAAAAGCAACATTATGTATTATTGAATGCTGACTACTTGTACAGTATTTTTATTACTTGATGCTTACTGTACATATGATATAGATGGCAAGGGCTAAAAGTGATAATGGATAGTCAGTCCAAATTCATTAAAAATTTGAAATGGTTTCATTTTTTTTTCCACATAATCTTTATTTTCTTGCAGCACTGCTTTAAGCCACCTTTACCATCTGAGGTTAGTGTTAGTTTCTATGTTCATGCTCAGAAGTTGGAGATGGCAGTTTACCAGCTACAACATGGACAACCTGGACAGAAAGTGGAGATTGTCTCACGCTATCAGGTGGGTTCCAGAACATGTTAGCAAGTGGGTTTCAGAACATGTTATCAGGTGGGTTTCATAAAGAATTATTGGGTGGGTTTCAGAACACATGTTATTAGCTGGGTTTCAGAACATGTTTGCTGCTGGGTTTCAGAACACGTTATTAGGAGGGTTCCAGAAATGTTTTTAGTTGGGTATTAGAATATACTATTAGGTTTCGGAACACGTTCAGGTGGCTACCGGAACACCTATCAGGTGGATTTTAGAACAAATGATATCAGGTGTTTTCAGAACATGTTATTACGAGGGTTATGGAACACTTTACCTGGTTTGTTTCAGAACATCACAGCGGCAATGTGTAAGACCACTGCCAACTGGGTGGTATATTGTATTGTCTCTATTTGATTAAAATACTGGCAATTTATTATAACCTAAAAGATGGAGACATACAGTTGCACAATCTGATGTAATTATTTCTCACAGTTTTTGATTGCTCCATCTAAGCCATTGTCACATTATTAGTTAATTTTTATCCTTTGTTTTTAGGGGGAATGCCAAGTGCCGTGGCTAAATGATGTAATTGTACTTTTTACTTTAGCATTACAAAGTTGTCAACAATTAAAGGACAAGGTAAGAATTGAGGGGTTATAAACAAAAGTAAACAAAAATTTTTGAATACTATCCTACTGTAATGTGTTTTTGTGGTTTGAAAATTGTGACAGTGATATTCATTTCGAAGTTTTAAATGTAGAAAAGCAGGTAAATGAGATCCAGGTCTATTAAATAACAATGGAAATACAGTTTAATATAGACATTAAGGAGCTGTTGAAAGCTGTGTGCTTCTCCATTACATCTCCAATTCACAAACATGTTTTTTTCTTTTCAGATCTCCATAATTGAGGAATATTCCAAATCTTCCAAAGGCCATTAGCATTGTACTGTTGTCTTGGAAACTGCTGAATCATTCTGTATGGACAACTGATAGAATACTGCAGATCAGTACATGATCAATGTGAAAATCCTTGTAGTTTTTTAAAATCATGCAGAGATATTTCTATGGTTTTAGTATGAAGGTATTAATAAAAAGGCAAAACTGTCATGGAAAGTAAGGCTGCATTATAAGATATGATGATGTAGCAGCTCATGAGGTTTGTTTACAAGAAAGCAGTATCTCTAGTTCATACTGTTTGAGAAAAGAAAACAACGATGCCAAATATGGAGATGAAATGTTTGATCTCACTGCATACATTTTGCAAACATGGGTAGTTTTTTTGGTAAATTAATTGATTTTTTATTGATTTTTAACAATATAGAAGTCTTTAAATATGAAACAATGCAGAGAAAAGATTATTTGTAGTTGAAACAGCCTACATTTCCTCGGTTGCTTTTTAGGTGATGTCCATTTAAAATAATTAAGGTCCCAGTGAAGGGAAACTGAAAATTATATTCCATATTTTATTCACAAGATGTGGAATGTAATTCTGTGATACAATCTGATTTTTTCCAGCTGTTCATTATGATAAAATTGAACCACATGCAATCCATTGCTGAAGGTAGTGCTGTCAGCTTGGTAGGGTTGCACAGAATGTGTCAGTTATTGATTGAAGCAGTTATCCACTTAGTGATGTACTGGAAATTACAGTTTGTCTTTGCTGATTAGTTTGATGTTACCCTGAGCCTCCACTCTGTTGCGTGCAAGCTGTTCCGTTTTTAAATCTCCATATCTAGAAGGCTCTACATCAAGAAAGAAACATGTAGACATTTGATTGAACATTCAGGGAATTAGGTGCAAGACGACTGCAAATGTTGCCCTACTACTTTGCTTGTTTGTCCTAGAAGATGTGTAAGTGCGTGTATGTATCCAAAGTTGAGACAAAGAGCAAATGCTGTAACACAAATCTAGTTATGCTCATCCTTATCTTTTTTGAGTCAGTTTTTTACTCCTGTAGGTAGGCAAAATGGCCTTTGGGAACATATGTCACTTAACATACTAGGCAGGTTGACGGAGAAGTGGAAGGGACCAATCCCCCCTCCTTCTTGTGCTCACGCCTGTAACAAAAACTTACCATTTGGAAGGTATTAAGTTAAATTTTACTGAAAGTCGTCCACTATGACAAACCATAGCTTGATAGCATAGGTGATACAAAAAGGTGATTTAATAAAACTCATTTTGCCTACCGGAGTAAAGCTGAACAGGTGTATATCAAAATTACTGAAATCCATGTATTGGTTTTTTATTCTCTTTGGAGTACTTTCTGGCATGCTATTGCAGCGTACATTTGCCAAACATCACCGATTAACTGATGAATAAAGTTATATGCAATGACCTGGGAATTGGTCAATTTATTTTGTATAACCACCCCACTTATGATTAAATTATTCACTTTTATTCATTGTGAAAAGATGCATTCATTTTTTAATTGAAGTAATATCATACTATGGTGATTGACAGATAACATTGTGGCAGTCCAGTCTTAAATTATNATTGTGGACTCTACTTACTACGGTATAAACAAAAACAAACAATTCAATCAATGGTTATATTAAATATACCCTAATAAAACGTATTTCAAAACTATTCTTCCGTAACATCGTATTTTATTGTCAAATCCGTACAAAATACGGCCAAATCGTAACGATAGGCATCTCTGAATTATACCCACCAAAGTTCAGTGAAAAAATTCACCACTTACGGCTGTCATGGATTATTTAATTGAAACCTTTAAATGACAGCGATGTGAGATTATGAAAAACAAGGCATCCTTTAGCATTACCACATCATTAAATATTCATGACAGCTACCAGTAACACAATCCGATACCATAGTCATACAGACGTCTGATATGCCCACAGGTTCACCGACTTAAATATCATGAAAGGCCAGCAAAGTTTCTTCTACAAAATTGTGGAGACAAAGTAATGAACTGGCCTAAGTTACCTCTTTGATAAATGTCCACTCCAAACAACCAAACCAATTAAAATTTACCAAGAAAAACTCATTCACTGAAAAAAGTCAGAATAATACAATTTTTCCTTGATCCTAAAAGTAAGGTTTTTTGATCAGCTGCCTTGAGGTACTTGCATGTTCATGAAATGGGGCAATCAAATGTGCCTGGAAGAGGTCATGATGCAAGACTATCACTGATCTCTATAATGATGCAAGTAGCAACTGTGAATTGTGGTGTCCAAGGTAGCTTGTCTAGTCATGGCATAAATAAGGCCCCTTGCTGGTGAAATAAAGCAGCAATTTGATACTTTTCTTCAGATTGATGTGCACAAAGGCATGCATGCTTTTTTCCCAGAAGTTACCAATAAGTTAATTTACACTCTAAGGTGTACATTCCCTTTTCAAAATGTAGAAAAATGACCTTGTTTAATACAGGTTGGGGACAATTTATTGATTTCTGGCAGCACCAATTTGTACAATGTATGCACCCCCAGTAACACCCATCACTCCTATGCACACAGGCATAATTAGCGTTCACAGACACAGTTTTAACTCAACCACTTCTCCAATATAATGACCTCTACAATGTAAAAGGTGTTCTGTTCAAACAGAATCAAAGGCAGTCAAGGGGAGTCTTTCTCACAGACTCTGGGTGCTTTCATGTCCCTTTTATCTTCCATCAATTGACAGACATAGGTATAGGATATACAGGAATGACTTTGACACTTTCTCCAGAAAATACTATAGTGTAGGAATGACATCAAGCACCATACAATCTTCAATGGTGCAACAATATGTCTGTACTTCTGTCCTGCGTGCACTGAGATGGCGTCTCTTATCATGGACCAAGCAGTCTTTAAAGTGACATTACTTGCAAAAAATACCGTCAAACCACAATCTTATTATAAGTCTTGCTAATTTTCCTTGGGAATAAGTGAATGTCATCCATCATCTGTAAAAATGTTGTCGTCTTTCAACGCATCTTGTCTGTTTTTTTTAAGCATGGCACGGACTTTACTTAGTATCTCCTGAAAATTAAAGAGACCTGCATTTAAAAATATTTATCATTAATAGTACTTTGATGTTCATTAAATCATGTATTCATGCTTTGACCTGGGCTGTAGCCATAATTTAGTGGCTTGTGGGTCTAGTGTCAGTGTAAACAGATATGTACATAAACATTATTAAATATCAGTTGAATGAATAACAGTGAATATCAGGCTAGTTGCGTGTGAGTCAAAAAGTACGTTTATCTCAAACAGATCTGATTAATAGAAAAAAATGGGTCTGTTAGGCTTTTGGGTACAAAACTGTATTGTGAAAATTATAAGGTAGCGAGAAATAATCATAATATCAGTCCCATTCCAAAACACACACACTAAAATACAAACTGCCCTCACATCAGAGTATGTGTCTTCTGTTGACATGATAGCTGTGGAACTGGCCTCTCTGCTGACAGCCATTTTGGCAGGGGAACCATGGGAGGCCTCGGAGTCAGATAAGGTTGGTAATATTGCTTCCTTGGATATGATTTCAGCACCATTGGCATTGCTACAATAAAAAAGGATGCTTCATAACCAATATGCCAATATGAATTACTCTGAATGGAAGTGTTTATGTGAAGACAAGTGTGTGGGAGGGGGTATCACTGGAACACAATATTCCATGAAGCAGATTTTGATAGCGCTTCTGTTACATTTCCCTTAATTCACCATTTTAACCTCACTTCATTAGCCTCAGATATTCACCATAATAATGATAAAGCTTATTCAGACATCGTAAACATTATAACACACCTGGGTCCACTGGATATCACATCATCAAATGATTCCCTTGCTTGGTCAGACTTGATGGAACTTGATGACGGTATTCTGGTCATGCCGGTGGAAAGAGGAAGTTTACGAGCCTCTGGAGATTTGGACTTTGATGCTCTTCTTTTTCTATGACTAGGAGATCTGCAAAATTTTAAACATAAAATAAGAATCTGTTAACATATTTGGTTTAAAATTTGAAATACTATCCTCTCAAAAAGAAAACAAGTGATCTTACTCAATATCTAGACCACCTTTTTTTAAATGATTTTCAAAACTATCCTATTCTTACATTTAATTTATGACCATCAAAAGAATTTAAAATCATCACATTAAGAAGAAGAATAACCTCGACTTAGACTTGGAATGACGGTTTTTCTTTTTTGACTTTCCAGGGGATCTGGACTTCGAACGGGATCTTCTCTTCTTTTTACCGGGGGACCGGGACTTGGAGCTAGACAGAAACAAACTTACATCAGCCACTTTGACAAGCCTGTGACGTCCACATATAAACAACATATTATTTTAGCAATTCCCAAGAAAATAAAAAGATATCAATTTTCAAAAACTGCCGATCAAATTTTACAAGGGCAAAATAGTCCTTTATTCTGTCACCTTTTTCATTTTCATTTGAAAACTACACTAAGTTAAAATGTGCATTACTTTAAACAAATGGTCATACCGTCTAACAACTGCATATGCACTAGGTGGGGTTTTAGATTTCTTTCTTCTTGTCCTGGAGCGCGATCTCCTGCTTTTTGATCTTGATCGTTTTCTTGATCGAGAAGACTTGTGTGACCGTGACCTGGACTTAGACCTAGATCTTGATTTCCTTTTTTTGGCTTTCGACCTCTTCGGAGATCTGGACCTTGACCTTGATCGTGACAGAGATCGTTTGATAAGTTTACTTGGAGATCTGGAAGTTTTTCGCACTGGGGACCTGGCAGCCATGACAGGCGCTGGACTGTTTTGTCTGCTACTTAGTGGTGTGATGACTGGGGAGGGCTGGCCTGGTGCAGAGGGGACTGCAGAGAGAACCATATTATACTTACTTACATTTCTTAGTCAGTTGTTTACACAAGAACACCATCTCATCAGATTTAAAACAAATAAACTGCAGAACTTCATAGCTCTGTGATGACTGGGGAGGGCTGGCCTGGTGCAGAGGGGACTGCAGAGAGAACCATATTATACTTACTTACATTTCTTAGTCAGTTGTTTACACAAGAACACCATCTCATCAGATTTAAAACAAATAAACTGCAGAACTTCATAGCTCTATTATGAAATTAGTTCAAACAAAATATTTCCAGTGATAAATGAAATTTTACAGCCTACCTTCCTTACTTGCCAGATCTCCTTCCCCCTGGGTTGCAGACATGGTATTGTTCTTTAGCATATTTATAAACATGGCCGCTTTCCTCTTTCTTTCAACCTGAAGCTGTTTCTCTTTGCTTGCCCAAGACAAACGCTCCCTTGCAGCTGCAGCAAGCTTATCTTTTAGCTTGTACTCCACTGAAAGGGAAAGATGCAAACGTGAAGGTCAAAACTGTGTAAAAGCATATCATGACAAAATACATAAAATTATAAACAACTATCCATAAAAATTCAAAGATATAAATGTTATTTATACCTCATGTCCATTTAACACCAAAATAAATAGGTAAATAAATAAATAAATAAAAATATGTCAATATCAATATGATATAAATGCATCTTACCTTGTCTCCGTTCCATTTCCTCTGCTGATATGGGTGTTCTCTCTGGTCTGTCCTCCGTGATCTGCTCAGGCACAGGCATCTTTGTCATGTCCTCCTCCTCACTCTGGGTACCACTGGTAGTTCTTACCTTGTCCTTCCCTTCACCTGAAATAAAACTCTTGTCAATACAGCTGCTATCTTTTTACCGTGCAGATATATTTATACTGTAACTAAGAACCAGGCCAGATACCTAGAAGAAGGGGATGGAGGACCACTGCATATTTTCAAGGACTACTAGCAAGATACGTAATTTAATATTGGTTTGACAAAATGATCTGCATTAAAATTTCATTTAAAGGTGGCATGTTCTTAGTTACAGTATAAATATATCCAGTGTATTTTAAACAAACTGGTAAATAATACAGCAGGGTTTATTTATTAGCAGTAAAAGGAGACTTCACTTGTATTAAAATATTAGACAAAAACCAAAGATGACAGAGAGGTTAAATTGAAAATAGGATAGAATATCAATTTTACCATCTTCATCACTACTTTCATCCACAGGGAAGGCAGCAGTTTTTTTCTTCTCTAGAGGACCAGACTCATTCTCCTTGGCCTTAATGGAAAAACTAATAGCTGCAAAAAAAATTAAAAAATGATGTTATGTTTTGATACACAAATTTGTTAGCCAAGATAAAAAAAAAAAATTCACTGCACATCCATTAGTATAATGAATAAATTCATTATGAACAAAGTCACTTTGCCTGACACACAATTGTCATTTTTTATGGAAGTAAAAATTATTTTTTGTCTTACTGTATTATGTATTGCTGTATTATGTAAGTATTATGGTAAAACTGAGTGTGTGACACAGCTCAAGCAATTATCTCTTGAATCCAGCTCCTTAAGGGAAATTAGGCTTTTAGACAGTCTAAAAGTGGAAAGTAATATATCTGATTATGGAACCATCCATATTATAATCTACTTCTTATCCTGATATACAAGATTCTACAGCATCTTTTTCCTTTTCCTCTCTTCTTTCCTCAATTGTAAAAGATGCTCCAGATATTTCAGCTCCTTAATGAAATCTTATTTCTTTGTCAACTTACCTTTTGGAGGACCTCTGTCTGTTTCTTTGATCCCAAATTCCTGAAATAAAAGTATTACACAGATGAATTACCAAAAAGGACACACACTAAGCTACAATCTAAGCAAAAGCAACACTTTAGTAATTGTTAAATTTGAACTGTGCTAACCCAGTACAGTGCATGCTTTTCAGACAAATGTCTTTACTTGCAGGGCAGTCATAGCTTCTTTCCTGAACCTCATTTTTGATGGAAGAAAGAGTCAATATTATGTAAAGGAAGTGATACAAATGTAGTGTTAAGCTACTGCAAGTAATACAAATGGTAGTGTTAATTTACTGCATAAAACTACATCTGAAGAATATCTACTGAAGTACAAAATGCAGATTCAGAACACACTGGCACATAGAATATCAAATAAAAGCTATTAATGAAATAATTTGGTTAAAGAAGAGAAAATACTCATACCATTTTTTTACTTACTCCTTCTTATGATTTTCGTGGTGAAATATTTTTGTATGGTGAAAATTAGAGTATCTGTCTTAAAAAATGCACATTTGAGGCCCTTGAAACATGAACAAACCAAGTAAAAAGTGTTACTAATCAATGCCCAGTAAAGCGTGGAGAAAACAAACCATGTACTGCATTGTTGCAGACTAAGCTACCTTTTCATAAGCATTCTTCTTGTACTGGTAGTATGAGTGATGCATATGCCACGGATGTAGAAACTGAAACCTGGGATCATCCTTGGCTTTCACCGTCTTCTCAAACTCATCTCCATTCCTGGCAACATAGTCAGCCATCTTGTCAATGATGGGCTGAAGATCTGGTGGCGGAGGTATAATTTGGGGGCCTGCAGCAGCCTGCTGGGGACTATGTAATAAAAACATATTTCACATGAACAAGCAAATTGGATTACTGTGACAAAAATACCACACCCACAAATCTACATCATTCAAGAACAGTGTGTCAGGAGTAGTTACAAGGCTTAAATTACAGAAGTATGGCAGCTAAGGTGCAACAATCTGTAACCTATTCCTGTGGTATGTGCTTTTTTACAAAAATGCTTTGCATTTATATATTAACAGTCCCTTACCCAGTATCTGCAGGCTGTGGTAACTTTGCAGGGACAGTCCCTGGGGGTGGGGGCTGGTCAGAGGGCAGGGTGACTGGTTCCATTCCTGGGGGTGGAGGTAGTCTGTGGTCATAGTGATGAGGATGAGGATGGTGATGATGATGATGGTGGTGGTGGTGGTGATGGTGGTGCATATAGCTGCTATGGTGATAGTCCTGTGACATGTAAGGTGGCATGGGAGGTGGTGCCACTTCATTGCTGTAGGAAACACCTGCACCTTCATGGCTGCCATCTGATTTTGATTCCCTAAAACCAGAACAAGGGAACTTACAAGCTGAATCAGGACTGACACAGTGCATAAAACAAGGTGTAGATGTTTATTTAACATGTGCAAAATTCTGCCCTTTTATTCAAATTCAACAAGAAAGTTTTTTTGTATTTATTTTTAGAGCGAGTGACAGTCACTACAATATTTTTAGCCGAATTTGATATGGTTGGCCACATAACACACACTTGGTTTTGCACAAATACACATGCAGCACAGAGCTGTTTTGAGTCATTGGTCTTCAAAATAAGATGTGTTATTGCTATTTATCACAATGCTCAAAATTATATCTGTTTGAGTGGTACTTAAATATTGTAGAGAAAAAATATGGGGGTAAGTAACATGTGGTCATACTATTTTAATACTTAAGTGACAAAGACAAAGGAAGGTAAGGATACTGTGACACAGAGTAAAGCATGCACACACTGATCATGGGATGGGACAAAACGTACCTGTTAGAAGGTTCTGCAGGCATGGGGCTACCTGAACGCGAGGTTTTGGACATCTTGCTGAGTAATTTCCCATATGCAGTATCACTGATACGAACAACAGGTTTTGGCACACTTGTTGCAGATGTGGTGTCCTGATAAATGTTAAATTTAAAATAAGTAAACAAGTGGAGAAAAATAACTCATTCTGTCACTCAAGTTTTGATAAGTTATCATTCTCCTCTCATATGATTATATTAAAGGGAAAATAACTCTTCGTTTTGGCCAAAAAATGAATTTTCCTGGAGTAAACAAAAATTTTCCCATAGTTACCAATGGTTAATGAATCCATTTTTACATTCAAAGTTAGTCCCTGATTTTTTCTAAAAAGTTTGGTTTTTTGTTAAGAGATTTTAACAGAGTATAGCCATCAATGGAGGTCCCGTGGTCTAAAGACAAGCTCAGATATCAGAATAATAGCTATAACTGCCGTTTTTGTGGTAAAACAGAATATATTATATTTCTATGAGTTATTCACTATGTTTTTATTGTGAAATATAGATCTCATACGAAGAGTTATTATCCCTTTAAGTGACAACTCATGTTCAACAGTCCACTGCTCAATGTTAGAAATGAGTGACTTGTAAAGTTGTGAATAAAATCCGACTTACTGGTGATGGCTTCCTTGCAGCCATAAGACTGGGGTGAAGGTAGCCACTGTGGTCATGTTCATCATCCTCCTCACTCTCCAGGTGACCTGAAATAGGCACAAAAAATACATTCAGCAGACATATATTATAAGAGAAAGACAGTTCATTGATTATTGTCTTTATCTAAAAAATATAAATAGATAAAATTATGCTTGATGTACTTTATACATATATTTTGGAATTAACATTTAAATATAAATTAATATCTGAACTGGATTCATTCAACAGAGCCCCATAAAATTATGAATGTATTCCCTTTAAAGTAAAATTCAACACACAATTTACAAAAGAAGACCTCTTAACTTACTTTGTCTCCTCTTGGTTTTAGGTTTCGGAAGTTCTATAGACTTGTATTTCCCAGATTTAATCAGTTTAATGAGATGTTTATAATATGGAAACAGCTTGTTCTCAAAGTTCATGAATTCAAATTGTTCATTGTGTTTCTGTTTTGTCTTGATGACTATTTCAAACTGTCCTCCTTGTTCAGCCACAAAGTTGGCCGTCTTCTCAATAATAGCATGAAGCTTCACAGAAGAAGGCTGAAGGTAAACAAAGACATGTTAAATATTAAATTTTTGAAAATCAACTGATCCATCAAATCATTTGTAAACATGTTTGGAGATTTGAACAAAATCAGACTCTAATCTTTCAAATTACATTATATCTTTTGTCATCTAAATCATTTCCCGTCCTCTGTTCTTCACAAACAGAGCACTAAAAATATTTTCAGGAAGCATTAAAGGGGGGGTAGGTAAACATGAACTGTATGTTTGTGTTTATCAAAAAAAGTTTTTCAGGAACAGAATTTAATTTTAATGCTTCAGTGTCCAGTACTTACCAATATGATTGATGGGGGTATTTTTGCCTTGAAATCATCTGGTGGGTTAAATGGTTCCTCATCATCTTCCTCTTCTTCTGCATGAAGAACCATTTAAAACTATTAATGTTTTTCTCTTCACTCTTTGACAAACTTGTTTTAAAACTTAATGTGAGGATGCTCAATGATTAATAGCTTCAAAAGAAAACAGTTGTCAAAACCACTGTTCGGAGTTCAAAAGTTTGAGAAAGAATAGAAGATATAAATATCATCTTCTTAGTTGTTAATAAATCATATCATTTCCTCCTAATATTAACAACACAGGTAATTTAAGAAAACAACAATGTACTTAGAATATGTGAAAAAAAAAGGTTAAGTATGATGAAAACCATAATGCTAAGATTTATGGTTATTAAGGGTAGATATTGCATACAGCATGCTGGTTACCTTTGCCCTCCTGTTCATCACTCGGCTGGGCAGGATCATAGCCACCATCGTAGTTGAATCCTATTGCCTCATAACGGTTCTCTGACAGTTCCTGGTTTAACCTTTTCAATTCTTCCTCTACATAAAATATTGGATAAAGCCATAAATAAACTTTCACAATATTAAATAACAATGTTGTTAACATGCAGAAAATAAATGTTAGTTCTTTCACTTGTCATTCATTTGAAATTTTTTAGAAGGGGTTGGAAACTTTAACATTCTAAATATTTGATTATCTTCCAAAAGGGCATACATACAACATACATACTGCACACACGCACGCGTGTGCACACACACATAAGGCAAACCCAACAACAAAATGAATATAATACTGTTTCAATACCTCAGGCCTAGGATACTTTATATGGTGACATGAATTGATAGAAGACATGATGTCAGTGCAACAGTTAATCAAATTTCAGAGTCAAATACATACTATTTGTGTCCAACTTTATATCACTAACACCTACCTTCATACAATGCCTTCTCTGAAACATCCGTGTGAAGTTCTAAATATCTCTCTTCATCACACAGAGCTTGAATCCTTTGCTCTTCCTCCTGTATCGGCTCTGATCTGTCCAGGTAGTCAGCATCATAGGGCCGAAGGTCATGTAAGTGACCTCTTCCATCGTACCTGATGAACAAATCACTAAGTTATTACATGCAATAAAAGAGATGGACTGCAAAGACGTCATATGCACTTTACCGTTTAAGATCTATAATAAGAGCCTGAAATAAAAACTGTTGGTTACATAAATGAAGCACTACATGGTACAAATATCTAACTTTTCTGCTGTCAGCCACTTGATTACCTTATCCTAAAGGTAATTTTTGACTCATGATTCATGCACATGACATCAGAGGTTTTACGGTTTAAAATGAATGTCTGAAAGATGGAAGGACTTTTAAAGATATTTATATATTTCAAAATATTCAAGTGTCTAGCAGCATGTCTGATTTACATTATATTGCAAGCTGAAAATCCTGAATCATCAAATAAGTGTTTGGTTGTACAATGGTAAAAGCAACCAAAAAGTAAGGCATACTGACTTCTCAATATTTCAGAATTCATAGCTTCGTAAAAATCCGTGTTCAAAATAACAGAAACATTTCTAAGCACAAATCTCTGTCTAGAATTAATCCCAAAAGGTAAATTCAAAACAAAAAATTGGCCAATTTTCAAATTCAGAATTTTGTGTTCTTTTCCTCTTTTCTTATCATTTTATGTTTATAAAATTTTATATTTTTTCCTTGAAAATGTTTCTGATGTGACAAAACTTAAAGAAAACAATATACGGGATCCAAATTAAAAGAAGAGGCATAAATGTCAATTTTGTCATTAACATGAATGACCATAATTTCCATGTTTTTACAATGTTAAATTTAATGACAGATTACACCAATCACAGATTTTTAAATACCTCTGACTGAACTGTTTTAGGAAAAAATAGACCATTAAATTCTTACACCTCCTCTTTTCTTATATTTCTCTAATCAATTACAGGTACAAAAATCTGATTGGTCTGGGTTTTCCGTCACTAGCACCCCTATATGATATTCACCTAGTGTGCAGTAAAAAGAAAACCATTGTTATAATGAGTAAAATGCATATGCTGCTATCCATGTCAGGATTAGGTAGAGCCAAATGAACCAGGCAATATAATAACAGAAAGCAAATGGATTTTCTAAGAACCTGTCTTTTAATTGGCAGGTGAATGAGTATGCTGGGTTTGGAGAGCAAAGGCAATGGAAATATGTTACACTTACTGTCTTTTATGCTCCCATTCTGCAGCAGGTCAGTTCCATGTTGTGTTAAGATATATCTTTTCAACTTCAGCACACTCGGTGAATATCATAAACTTAATAGGTGTACTGGTGGATGGTTATTCGAACTATCATGAACAGATGGGATAGGCTATACTAACAGTAACAATTCAATAAACAAAAATAGCAAGGTGGCCAGCATGCTGCGTTTCATGCCGACCACTACAAACCATAGCATATAAAATAGGTCTCTTGGTCTGACCCCCAAACATTGCATTCGAAAGACGAAATGTGTCTAGTGTAAAACTTCTGTATTCCTCGGGGTGGGCACATCTCTGACTTAGCCATTTGTGACCTGATGACCTTCAGCACAGGACATCTACAGGGGATTTACAGAGCTGCTCCTCTTCACTTCAACACTTACCATATCCTAGAGAGATTGCTAAACTTCGAAATGAAACCCTGTACAAAATGGAACTGTTATGTGGTTAAATAAGAAATCGAAATGTTGAAATCGACACCTTGTGTATGGATTGGTGCCAAGGACACCGACCTGTCAATCATCAAGCTGCTGTCGCCCATCCACGGGATTAAGTGCTTGCATTTGTCAATAAATAACGCCTTCTCGTCGTCCTTGAATATTTTACATGCGTATCCAAACACAAACAAGTCTTCAAGTTCCTCATTTTCCTTTGTCAATGTTGGCAGATTGTGCACGTTCCGTTTTCTCGCCGCCATGATGGATCACTTTAAATTGTAGTGGAGGGGGAGCAGGCTCATGTGACTGGGTAGTAGAGCAGGAATGGAATACACCACAGGGAATGCAGCGAGATAGTTACTCTCAAGCAGTCTTACTGTGTGGACTAGGAAGTGGAGGGTTAAACTTATTATTTTCTCAAATAATATTTACCCTATTCAGATTATTTAAAAACGGTAAGAATGGACTTTTCCAAGTCACATCCTGGAACTTTTAATATGGTTGCTCCCATGGAGAGTGAAATTTCTTTAACAGATACGATTTTACATTACATAGAATGTTTGTGCAAGTCTAATGACATTGAAAGTGATTTAAGGCAAGAACTCGATAAATACAGAAAGGCAAAAGAAGGAAACAATGGCCTTATACCTTTTAGACTTGTAAAACGTATCCATAGGTCATTGGAAGCGAGAGGTACTAACTAGCCAGGATGCTACATGTAGTTTACTCTTTTGATAAAAATTAATTTACAGTCTACACTAAACTTCCATTAAGAGATATCGCACTTTCTTATCCGCCGAATTGGATAAATCGAGCTCACAATCTAGTATAAGCATTATATATTTTGTTTTTCTTTTTAAGGGGAAACGTTGTATCTCCACCAGTTGTTAGAACAAAGTACAATACATCTTCCTTCACCACAGCTTCCTCCAAGGGTAAGATGTGTGCTTATATGTAACAATCATATTATCAAGTCAAGATTTGAAGCAGTGGGGAAATTGAGTGAAATGTGTCGCAATGAAATAGAATCAGGGTAACAGTTGAAATGTTCATATAATATATCATATGTATATATTGGTCTGGTGAAAATAAATGAAAATTCTGACCTGTGATTGAACAGTTAAAGACTGAACTTAAGAACCTTTTCTTAATTAAGTTCTCAAAGGTTTCTTTTATCAACATATTATATTGTATAGAAATTTTATAATTTAAATCCCAATCATTTTTCTGTAGACATTTTCATCCAGTTTCACAAAGAGTTCATATTATACCAGGTAAAAAGTGTCTCTCTTCAGGTTTTTATTTCTAGAGGTATGTTATCAAGAGAAACTGCACCAGACCTTCATATGTAAATAGACAATTTTGTATATGGATCACAGTGTTTACAGAATTAAAATATTGCTGCTTTTATACATGTATCTCTAGGACCCAAAGTTAGAAGCCAGGATACAAGCACTTAAAGCAGAGCAAGAAAACAGAGAGTATGCCCAAATGATCAAAGATGTAAATGTAAGGTTGAAAAGTTAATTTTTATTGGTTTTGTAACAAAAGTGTTATTGTTATAGAAAAGGTATGCAAAATATATTTAGGTTATGGATATTTTTGTCACACTTCCTGGACAAGTTTTTTTTACACATGTATGTACTAGCAATTTCACCTAATTACCTTTATAATTACATTAAATGTGATTAAATATTTACAAGTTTTAATTTAGTTATAAATTGTTAAAAACAGTAATAATAGTGGACATGGAGCTGCAATCTTTCTTATTGGCACCCATTTGTATGCTGTATGCTTTGTGAAATCAAGTTAACACTTTATTTTTTCCAGAGTTTTTCCAAAAAGGACACTCACACATTTGGAAAAGAAAGTAAGTGTGGCAAAATTTAAATGAAAACGATTTATTAAATAATATCTTTTTTATGTTAAAGTTTGATGAATTGTTCCCCTATAACACTGATAACAGGGTGCAAATAAGGCATTCGCCAGTTACTTGATGCTTATAAGTTAGTTAACTAACCAATTATACGTTAATGAAGTCTTACCTGCAGGTACATTGATTAATTAACTAGTATTCCTGCAGATCTCCTTGAATACCTGTAAGATAGTAGACAGTTTGCAAGCTTTTAATTCAGATGTCTTATTCATTTCAGTCAAAAGTGTGAACAGGCACATGATTTCAGTGCTCAACTTTGTGCTGACAGTCGTTGGTTCTTTTGTGTTTGCTTACAAAGCTGTTGAGTACTCTCTGTCTGAGCCTAATATGGCAATGGTGAGTACCACACTCGCTACTCCCCCCCCCCCCCCCCC